GTGGTAGGACACTTTCATACTTTGAATTAACTGACCTAATGGCAGCATGTAAATATTGAACAGGAGAGGTCCCAGAATCGACCCCTGTGGCACTCCGCAGGTCAGGGCCATATTATCTGAGACATAGTTTCCAATCTCCACACAGTACTTCCTTTCTTCTAGATAGGACCTAAACCAGCTTAGGGCGGTACCAGCAACACCAACCCAGTCCTCCAGTCTCTGCATGAGAATCTCATGGTCAACGGTGTCGAAAGCGGCACTCAGATCTAACATGACTAAAACAGAGACTTTTCCTGCATCAGTGTTAAGCCGAATATCATTTGTTACCTTGACTAGAGCGGTCTCAGTACTGTGGTGTGGTCTAAAGCCAGACTGAAACATGTCAAATGAGTCATTAGATATTAAAAATTCAGTAAGTTGTTGGTAGGCAACTTTTTCAAGAATTTTTCCCATGAAAGGCAGATTTGAGATGGGACGGTAATTTTCAAGTACCGCAGCATCCAAACTGCTCTTTTTTAGGAGGGGCCTAATGACTGCCTTTTTCAGGGCCATTGGAAATGTTCCAGATAAAAAAGACATGTTTACTATTTGTGTCAATGAGGGTAATAGACTACACATAACAGACTTCAGAAATCTAGGAGGTAGTACATCCAGACTGCAGGTAGAGGAACTAAGACCTGTGATTATCTTTTTAACAGTTTCATCATTGACAGGTGCAAATTGAGCTAGCTCACAAAGCCTCACTGGATGTTGCATTGTTACTTGTGTTGTAGAGGTGATGGCATTTCTGATACCCTGAACCTTGTCTCTGAAGAACTGTGCAAACTCATTACACCTGGATTTGGAGTAGTGTTCTAATGGCAACTCAACAGGGGGGTTCGTTAATCTATTGATTGTTGAAAATAGAACACGCAGATTGTTGCTGCAGCCTTCAATAGTTTCAGAAAAGTATAATTCTCTTGTTCTACGTAGTACTCTGTTAAACTCACACAACTTCTCTTTTAAGAGTCTATAATCACCCTGGAGGTTGGACTTTCTCCACTTTCTCTCTGCTCTCCGGCACTCTTGCTTCTGTGCCCTGACCGGGCCTGCTTTTATCCATGGGGCTTTTTGCTTATTTGTGACCATTTTTACCTTCACAGGGGCAATGGCGTCCAGAACATTCAACACACTAGAGGTGACAGAGTTAAGCAGTTCATCTACAGTAGAACATGATGTGTTCTCAAAATGGATCATTCCCATAAATAGTTCACCAGTGTTTTCATTTAAGTGTCTACTTCTAACAATTTCATATTTAGCGGGTGGTCTGGTAGCAAAACACATGTTAAAAAATACACAGAAATGATCCGACAGAGCAACATCAACTACATTAACTTTTGAAATATTCACCCCTTTCGTGATAAGCAGGTCCAAGGTGTGTCCTCTGCTATGGGTGGGGCCACTCACATGCTGAGTGAGGCCAAAGGATTCAAGTATGGAACTCAGCTCTTTTGCGTATCTGTCATTAACATTATCCACATGAATATTAAAATCGCCTATAATGACTAAACCATCAAAATCTGTGCACACAACTGAAAGCAACTCAGTGAAATGATCAGTGAAACTATGGCATGACTGTGGCGGCTTGTACACAACAATAATAAGAATGGAAGAAGATTTCTTTTGTTCTATTTTAAAAGAAACATACTCAAATGATGAAAATTTCCCAAGAGACACCCTATGGGAGACAATACGATCTTTAAAAACTGCTGCTATGCCCCCCCCCCTTTTATTTTCTCGTGTTTCATATTCAAATTTGAAATTTGGTGGTGAGGCTTCTATTAAAACTGCATCTCCTGTATTATGGTCAAGCCATGTTTCAGTCATAAACATAAAATCAAGATCATACGAACAGATAAAATTATTAATTAAAAATGATTTGTTGCATAGTGATCTGACATTAAGTAGAGCAAGGTTAAAATTAATATCAGTGTCAGTGGGTTTAGTTGATTGATTACAAAGAACTGGAATTAGATTTCCAGAGTTGGACCGTCTAACTGCTGTCCTTCTTTTAAATTTGTGTTTATTCAAGTTAAAACACATTTCTGAGCTGGTGCGAGGAACACACACAGTCTCTATTGGTTTAAAAAGTGAACTCTGTTGTACTTTGTTAAGTTCCAGATGCATAACTGAGTCAGCACAGTTCAGTGGCAGGACTGTCGTTACACTGCCAGACGGACAGGGGTCAGTGTTTGCACCACAGTACTCACCCGGTGCTGGTAAGGAAGAGGAGGGGGGTGGTGGGGGCCGAGAAGCCTCGGATGTAAACAGTCACGCCCCCCTCGGGGAGCACTGACTGTTTACATCCGAGGCTTCTCGGCCCCCACCACCCCCCTCCTCTTCCTTACCAGCACCGGGTGAGTACTGTGGTGCAAACACTGACCCCTGTCCGTCTGGCAGTGTAACGACAGTCCTGCCACTGAACTGTGCTGACTCAGTTATGCATCTGGAACTTAACAAAGTACAACAGAGTTCACTTTTTAAACCAATAGAGACTGTGTGTGACTGTGACTGTGATATGTCCAGCCTTCATTGTGTTGATATAAACAATTGAATTGAAACTGAAAGTAGAATTATTATTAGTTTAAACTCCATGTCCATTACGAAATGTTTAAATTAAAGCAGCATGAGTACAACAGTATTTTAAGTACCACAAGAGAGCGGTATTTCACCCAGACCATTGAAAACTCTAGAAATAACTCCCATGCCCTTTTTTCAACCGTGAACAGATTAACACACACCCCATCACAGTTGCCTCTTGAGTTTATTTCCACATTTAAGTGCAATGAGTTTGCTGTATTTTTCAATGAAAAGGTTCAATCCATCAAAAGCGCGATAAATCCCACATCACAAATTTCTACACAAACAACTGCAGTTTCTGAGCTGTCCTTTTTTTCACCTGTCACTGAAAAATTGGTCAAAGAAATTGTTTTAAAATTGAAATCGTGCACTTGCTGCCTTGACGTGTTGCCCACTAGATTTTGAAAACTTGTTCTTAACAGTTTGTTGCCTTCACTCACTGCAATAGTGAACGCATCTCTTCAGTCAGGAACCTTCCCTGGTCCTCTGAAAACTGCAGTGATCAGGCCTCTCTTATAGAAGAGCAGTCTTGATCCTGCAGTGCTCAGCAATTACAGACCCATTTCAAATTTGCCTTTCTTAGGGAAGGTGTTAGAAAAGGCCGTTTACCTGCAGCTAAACAATTTCCTGCTGCTGAATAATGTTTTTGACCTGTTTCAATCAGGTTTCAGGCCCCACCACAGCACAGAGACTGCCCTGATAAGTTTCCAACGACATCCGCGTCAACAGTGACTTAGGCAAAGCCACAGTGTTGGTCCTGTTGGATCTCAGTGCAGCTTTGACACTGTTGATCACGAGATCCTCCTGCAGAGACTTGAGGGATGGGTTGGCATCACTGGCACTGCCTTAAGTTGGTGCCAGTCCTACTTAGAGGACAGACAGTACTTTGTTGAGATTGGGGACTGTGTTTCAGACCAGGTGGCCTTAACAAGTGGAGTGCCCCAAGGTTCAATTCTGGGCCCCCTTCTTTTTAATATTTATATGTTGCCACTAGGTCAATTGATTCGAGGCCAAAATGTATCCTACCACAATTATGCAGATGATACGCAGATTTATGTCTCACTGGCTGCGGGTGAACTTGGGCCAATTGAGTCACTCTGTCACGGCATCAAACAGATTGACTTTCTTCAGTTAAATTCAAACAAAACTGAAGTTATTGTGTTTGGCCCACAGAAACTCAGAGAAAGTGTGTGCGGCCTTCTCCAATCCTTTTCTCTGTCTCCAAATTACAAAAATCAGGTTACAAATCTAGGAGTAATCATGGACTCGGACCTCAATTTCAATAGTCACATTAAATCTGTAACTTCAGCGGCTTTCTACCATCTAAAGAACATTGCTAGAATTAGGGGCATAATGTCTAAGGCAGACTTAGAGATTGTCATTCATGCTTTTGTTTCTAGTAGGTTAGACTACTGCAACGGCCTTCTCTCTGGTCTGTCCAAAGGAGCTGTAAAGCAGCTACAGTATATTCAAAATGCTGCAGCTCGAGTCCTGACAGGAACCAGGAAGTACGACCACATTAGTCCAGTCCTCAGGTCTCGGCACTGGCTTCCTGTAGCCCAGAGAATAGATTTTAAATCAGCTCTCCTTGTATATAAGTCTCTCCGTGGTCTCGCACCAAAATACATATGCAACATGCTGGTACTGTACGAGCCCGCTCGAACTCTGAGGAGCGCGGGGACTGGCCTCCTGTTGGTGCCCAGAGTTGGGACTAGACATGGGGAGGCAGCGTTCCAGACCTATGCACCTAGAATCTGGAACAGTCTTCCCGAAGGTGTGAGACAGGCTCCTTCTTTATGTTCAAGTCCAGGCTGAAAACGGTTCTTTTCAGCCGTGCCTACGACTGATCATCAAGAAATCGTATCATAAATTTATTTTTTATGTATATATTTATTCATTTTCTTAAACTGTCTTTTGTATTTGTTTTTACAGTCTGTTTTTAAATTGTTTTTAAATTGCTTTTAAATGTTGCCGATGTGAAGCACTTTGGGTTGCATTCTGTATGAACTGTGCTATAGAAATAAACATTGATTGATTGATTGATTGATAACAAACACAGACATATGTCCCCTCAGAATCAGAATTATTTTTGTTACCTTTTGTAAGTAACAGTAAGTCACCAATAGGAATTTTCTTTAATATATGGTGCAGACAAGCAATGACAAAAGTAAAAAATATATATGTATGGCATGCATAAAATGACAGTAAAGGGTTCACACATCATTCATGGGATCCATAGTTTGAGTTACTTTACTTTAATAGCTTTTGAGTTTCACCTTTTTGTAATTTTCAAATACTTCCATCCTTGTGAGTGAGACATAAACAGTTGTGAGGATTCTTTGGCAACAACACGCTAACAACCTTGTCCCTTTCCCCTCCAGACAAAGGATCCTCAGCTGCACTTCTCATTGGACAGTTACTCGAGTGTTTTCGCCGTGACGACAGCTGGCATCACACGTCACCTGATCCTGGCCCGGGCGCTCGACAGAGAGACGCAGGACTCCTACACGTTCACGGTACTCCTACACCGATGCGCGCATATCTCTGCACACTGCGGGGGAACTACTTTTTGTTCCTTGGTAGAAAAAGGGTGGAGGGAATAGTAGTGGCTTCACCTTCGAATCAATATGTGGATTCATTTATTTTACTCATTTTGATGCTGGAGAGTCATGTGCCATCGATCTAATGCACACAATATAAAACTGTCAATATCTGGCTGTTAAAGTATGGTCCTGTATATATCTACTCTTCTTCTACTGTTTTACAACAACCTGCTCAGGGACTACAGCTGTGCATTATTATTATTATCTATCATTTATGTATTTTAGAATCTGTTAAAACACATGCAATACATTCAACTCAATGGAAAATTATACAAATATTGACAAAGAGTGGACTCGGAACACGACGCTCAAAAGGAGTAGGATATAACTGGATACAAATCTATGTACGGATTAGCTCATTATATATTAGAATATATAGTCCCTATAGCAATGAGAGCATCGTTAGCACTCCTGTTACAGCCTGGTACAATGCATCTCTCCTTTTGGCTAATGTTTATTATACAATGTCCCTGTAAAATAAGAATTGTATCGTACCAAACTATGGTTTATGATCCTAATATCAGCTCCCACAAATATTCAATAAACCCTCCATAAACCTTTCATTAACACTCTAATTCTAAACACTTTAAGTCTAAATTCAACTAAGAATTAAAGCCGAAAATGACCTATTCCTTATTTGTTGATTTTGAAAAGTCAAACAAGGGGGAAAATCTCTTTTATTCCTCTCGTCTTGTTAATTTAATTGAAACAGTTTTTCAAACAACCAGCAGGTGGCGACCATTACAATTGTGTTTGTGCATCGACAACACTGAGGCAGGTGATTCTGTGTTATGTGATCCTTGAGGGTTTCTTGAAACTCCTACTCCAGGTTTTTACATAGATCGTCAACTATACAGCTTCTAGGACGGACCCCCAAGCCCAAAAGCATTATGGGATTTGTGCAAGTAGCGAAAAAGTGTGTATGTTTGGTGAGTGATCGATCAGTGAATTATTTAGGTAAAGCATTTGTGTTCTTTGAATATTTCACTCACTTTGCCTATAGCTACATAAAAGATACAGTATATTCATACTGCTGCAGCTCGAGGGAAGACAGTGATTCAGATTATTTGCTAAAATCTGGAACAGTCTTTCTATAAAAGTGAGACAGGCTTCCAGGTTGAAAACAGTTACATTTAGCTGTGTGTACAACTGAAGCATTGTGTCTTCACTCTGTTTAATAAACTGTGATTATTATGATTACCTTGTATGATAGTAAGCACTTTGAGTTGCCTTGTGTATGAACTGTGCTACACAGATAAACTTGCCTTGTCTATAGTTGGAGTTCAAGAGCTCTGTGTTCATAATTTTGACAATGGCTCAAAAGCTTCAATAACATATCCAGGTTACACCTTTTGTGTGGTCTCAGCTGCAACATTGATTCTAACAACTCGTGTTTCTTTTCTACCAAATATGTCCTCAATATTATGTGTATTTTCCTTCAGTGATTGCTGCCTCTCCGCTCTCCTCAGCTTCACCGTAATGGGACCGAGGATAAGATGCAGTTCCAACGAAAGCTTTCCTTGTTATCGTAAATTGCAAATATAGAGGGTGCCTCACGTGAAACAGCGTTCTTCTTTTTGAGTAGGAAAAAGCATATAGCGTATCGATTGAAAGGCAGAGGTTGGTAGTAATCATGATGAAAGCCTGAGGAGAAATTAAGATAGAGAAGCAGAGAGAGCGGATATAATGTGGTTTTCATTTAAGGGAATCTGTCAGCTTCCTGGTAGATGTGTGACAAGATTTGTATCAAGATAGAATCTGCTGGTGATAAGCACTTTTCCACGCGGGCGGGTTATTTCTGATTTGAACAAACGTGTTATCAAGATGGGCTTTGTGGAAAGGCTGCATCAGCAGACAGCACTGGGATTTCGGTTGTTTCTGAAAAGCTCAAGTCAATGGGGAAAAATACATCATTTGCATCGAAGGTTTGTGAGTCTGTTGTGTTCTGTAGAGTCCCCTTTTCATGCAAATAGTACATGTATTTTCTTACAAAATCTCCGCTTTCAAGACAAAATCAAGAAATCTGCAAATACTTTTTAGAATCCTGCATATTTTTTATGTTAATGTGTGTGGGATGGATTACATTTATTACTTTTCCAGACAGTAGTACTGTTTTTATATTGTATTGTTTTTATAATAATGATCAAAATGCATTGGTTTTTATGTAGTCGTTCTCAGTGGTAGTGGAAAACTACGACAGCAGCCCTGGGGCAGTCTAACCGAAGTGAGGCATCCAGATTGTGCCAATAGTTTTTCTGATCACACACACATCTGACTGATACTAGACAACGTGGGTGCAATGTCTTACCAAATGACAAAACAACAGTTAGCTTTTAGAGACGCGGCCCCCCAGAATTTTCCCAGCGGACCCCATCACAGTACTAACCAAGCCTTGCACTCCTTAGCTTCTCAGATACTGACTTCTAGGAGTAACTAATACTAACTTCTAGCTGTAACTAATACTAACTTATAGCTGTAACTAATACTGACTTCTAGCTGTAACTAATACTGACTTCTAGCTGTAACTAATACTGACTTCTAGGGGTAACTAATACTAACTTCTAGGGGTAACTAATACTAACTTCTAGGGGTAACTAACAGAGGTGGGACAAAGTCATTGTTTAGCAAGTCACAAGTCAGTCTCAATTCATTGCCCTCAAGTCCCGAGTCAAGTCACGAGTCAAGACAGGCAAGTCCCGAGTCGAGTCCAAGTCAAAGGCCAACAAATCTCAAGTCAGTCCCAAGTCCTACGGTTTGACTTTCGAGTCCTCTCGAGTCTTTTTGACCGCGATTTGTTTCTTGTTGGTCTCAATAATGTTAGGAATCATTTTGCTGGTGCATTCTCGTTGGTCTCTGACCCATGGACTAACAGTTTGTTCCATGTCGTTGGCTGCTGATAAATCAAAACTATCTATGTGATCTAATTGGATGTTGTGCCAGATGCAGGCTCAGTTACACATGCACAGACCACACATAAAATCAGAGCAGTCCGTGTCAACATACTTTTTATCTTTGGGGTTTTTAATGGGAAGTAGCAAGTGCAGCATATATGAATAGTATGCTTATATTATAATCAATTAATCTCAGTATTGGGCTAGGACCTGTATCTATATAATCAGTGTAATGTCCGTAGTGGTTATTGTTCCAAATGTCCTACTGTAGGATAGGGGTAGGGGTAGTATTAATTCAATCAGTCAAAGCACTGATTCTCATATCAATGCACCATAAACAATAGTGCAAATATTAATCTAGCTTAGTGCACATAATCAAAACAACTATCTAATGTATGCAAACTTTAGCAGGAGGAGCACAGCAAAAACATACTCATAATAATAGGCCTCGGCACCCACACAGAAAAATATAAGAAAGAGCCAACAGAGCAGCGCAGGCTAGCGCTAGTTTGACTCACCAGTTCCTCTTTAAAACACGGCACACAGTGTGACAACTGCGTCGATTCAATTGTATGAGGCGCCTGTAGTGAAAGCATATCAATTACGGTTTGTAGAACAAAATATGACGTTAGGTCGCGATAAATACCTGCAGCTCGCTCATTTCCAGCTCCCCTACGACAACACACCCACCGGTGAATGCAGTCCGCTTGTTTAGGGAAGTGTTGCTGCGCGAACTGCGGGGAACTCACGTTCGAACTCTCGCGCGAGCGCTACAACTACCGCGAGGCTTTGTTTCTTCAGAGACGGCATAGATCAGGGATTAAAGAGTTCCGTCTAGGTGACGGATTTCCGTCAAATGAAATTGGTCTGGAAAAAAAAAATATATATATATATATATATAATGATAATAATACACACAATGAAATGATTGATTATAAAAATAATATATAGTAATACATATACGTGTGAATCTGTTATATATATATATATCGATGTATAATAATAATTTGAATATAATTGTATTTATATGTATATAGAAATAATAAGTAATATAATGACGAGTGGGCCTTGAACGTGCCGTGGCCACACGAGCGCTCCGCAAATGAATCAAGGTAATGGGACGTAGCTGAGCTCACGCGCAAATGAAGACGCGATGAAGTTAGCATTGGTAACACGGAGGTGAAAGTTTCTGGAAACTGCACGGAGCTTTTGAAAAGGAGAAGAGGAGGAAAATTGAATCTCGAACGGAGCGATAACAGCAGCAGATCCGCGGACTGGTAAGCTGGGCGCGTAATAGAGGAAAGGTAATTAACGTTTACCAAACGCAATGCTATTTTACTTAACGGAATGTACAAAACGGACTTTGCTGCGACTGGGAATGGGGACAAACATGTCTTGGTGAGCTTTTGATATTGTCTTGTTTGCGATCTTCTTGCAAAACTCAGCGTGATGTAAAAGAGCCAATCAATGAGTCATGGTGCGAAAAGATGAAAGTGGCCGGTGCTTTTGCGTACTTTGCCATAAAAAATTGCATATATGGGAGCAGGGCTGGACTGGCCATCGGGCGTACCGGGCAATGCCCGAAGGGCCGATGCCCATATTTGGGCCGGTCTGTTTGCCTCATACAAAAAAGATGTTTGTGAAAAGTGTAAATCCGTTGAGAACTGTTTGAGGGGAGCGCGCGTGTCCGCGGGGCACCTGCTGTATGTACTGGAACGGGATTCTACCACCTCAGCGGCCGCAGTGTTCCGGCATCCAGCGGCTCTGAGCTGGACGCGGGAACCGCTCACCGCGAGCCGCTCACAACACAACACGGTGAGCGCGTAGCCGCAACGTGACCATGCACCCAAGACCATAAACGTGCACAGGACCATGCGTGTCTTTGCGTAATTTGTGCACCCAATAAATACACCGCTGCAGGAAACAGTCCGCGTCTCCCCTCTCCTCTCGAAGTGCGACTAAATTAAAGCTCGGGTGCCTAAATTTCCCATTGCATTAAAAGTTCATGTTTGAGCCCAAAAGTAAAATGTTGTGAAAAAATTAAACAGATTTAGAGCCAGCCAATGGCTGACATTATGCATTTCAGACTTTTTTGACCAATTCTCATCCCTGTAACAAACAACAGTGTTGTCTGCGTCCACCTCCCTCACTCTGAGACATGTTTATTACTCTCTTGTAATGTAGACTATTGCACTTTATTTTTTTGTTGAAACTGTAGACATCCTGAATCTCTACAGTATGCTTCCACATACTGTATAAACCAGGGGTCGGCAACCTTTAGTGCTCCTCCAGTGGCTCCTGGAGCCTTTTCAAAAATGTCTGAAAATGGAGTGGGAGGGCTATATTTTATTCCTAGTTTGAATGTGGTTTCTGTAGGAGGAAAAACATTCCTAACGTATTTCAATGCTGTAAAAATGTGTATAAGTAATATTCAATTTCAACATTTCTGTCAACGTAGTGAGTCATATCCTGTGACGCGGCCCCGTGCCAGGCGGCCGCTGCTGTAAACAAGCCGGCGTGTGTGCACGGATCCCAAAGATAAAAAGAGAACGAGTCGATAATAAGACTGGACTAAGAACAAGACTGAACATTTGCTTTCAGTCAATGAGGAAGGACTGCTTCATGTTTGCGATGTAATAGGAAGTTTTGTTGCAACACGAGGAACAATGAAGCACTAAATACCGTTCACAGGGATTACGTGAAGGATTCTTTCATACAAAATCCGGAGCACCTTTTTCAGACTTCAAAAACCTCCGCAAAGACTGTGAAAGAAAAGGCCATTAAGGACATTCAGCTACAGCAAACTTCAGCCTGTGACGTGATCGATATGAGCGGACAGTGCAGGTGTGTGACCTTTGAGCCAAAAAGCAGATTTATTTACTGTATTTCTACAGTTGCATGAAGGCAAAAAAATGGAAGTCAAAGTTAAAGCAGAGTCATCACGTGGTGCGTCATTCTCTCCAGGACATGCTGCAGTGAAAACACACATTTGACAATCATGAATGCTAATCATGTATTTGTAGCCTTTACTTGGTCATTTAGATAATAGGCTAATGTAGCTAATGTAGCTACATTGTGTAACCTTCATATAAGCTTTATACAAGGCTGTTATTTTTTTGCGGCTCCAGACAGATGTTTTTAGTATTTTTTGTCAAATATGGCTCTTTGAACCTTTTGAGTTGCCGATCCCTGGTATAAACAAACTGTAAAAAACGTGACAAAAACATGCCTGAGCCGGTAAGAAGGAAAAAATGCCCGGGCCGTTTTTTTGTCCCAGTCCAGCCCTGTATGGGAGTAATGAGAAAAAAGTTTTCATTCGCCACCAGCTCAAAACTGCGCACAAGGCAGCTGTTTGTGCACTTTCCCACACTTCATCTTTACCTGGTGCATCAGCAACAACTAACACTAGGCTTGCTATGGCGGACCGTGTCTGTGGCTTTATCGCAGAAAATAACGTTCAGAATATCACTACCGCTGGTAGATTTATTTAAATCATTTGCAGTTGATCGAAGTGCACTGTGCACTCAAACTTGATAGGGAAACCTTTTTCTTAAATATTGACGTGTCCACAAACAAATGTGGACAAAATTTTATCGTCCTTTTGCGATATTTTGACGAGGACAGAGCCAAAGTGTTGACGCTCCATATCGCCTCAAGTAAAGCTACTCTCACTAATATTCTGTCAAAAAGTTTACTCGTTGCTTGATCCACTTATATTTCATATCAAAATACACTGTATATCTTTGAAGAATTCATTTGAGCTGTATTCAATATACAATCTATTATACAATAATATATTGTAATTAAAAATATAACTTGGTCCTGCATATGACTGTGATTTACATATGATAAATTTCCATGCAAAAATGTTCAGTCAAATCTTTTTTTTTTGCTTTAACCCCTGGCATAGATAGAAAGAGAGATGCGGAGAAAGGTAAAAATGGCCCGGGTTACGCAAGTCTTTACAAGTCAATTGGCGCAAGTCCAAGTGAAAGTCAGAGTCATTGATGTTAAAGTCCAAGTCGAGTTGCAAGTCTTTTTATATTTGGTCAAGTCGAGTCTAAAGTCATCAAAATCATGACTCGAGTCTGACTCGAGTCCAAGTCACATGACTCGAGTCCACACCTCTGGTAACTAATACTGACTTCTAGCTGTAACTAATACTGACTTCTAGGGGTAACTAATACTAACTTCTAGGGGTAACTAATACTGACTTCTAGCTGTCACTAATACTGACTTCTAGCTGTAACTAATACTGACTTCTAGCTGTAACTAATACTGACTTCTAGGGGTAACTAATACTGACTTCTAGCTGTCACTAATACTGACTTCTAGCTGTAACTAATACTGACTTCTAGCTGTAACTAATACTGACTTCTAGCTGTCACTAATACTGACTTCTAGCTGTAACTAATACTGACTTCTAGCTGTCACTAATACTGACTTCTAGCTGTCACTAATACTGACTTCTAGCTGTAACTAATACTGACTTCTAGCTGTCACTAATACTGACTTCTAGCTGTCACTAATACCGACTTCTAGCTGTAACTAATACTGACTTCTAGCTGTAACTAATACTGACTTCTAGCTGTAACTAATACTGACTTCTAGCTGTAACTAATACTGACTTCTAGGGGTAACTAATACTGACTTCTAGGGGTAACTAATACTGACTTCTAGCTGTCACTAATACTGACTTCTAGCTGTAACTAATACTTCTAGCTGTAACTAATACTGACTTCTAGCTGTAACTAATACTGACTTCTAGCTGTAACTAATACTGACTTCTAGGGGTAACTAATACTGACTTCTAGGTGTAACTAATACTGACTTCTAGGGGCACAGTGGCTGAGTGGTTACCAAGAAGGTTCTTGGTTCCAATGCAGGTTTAGAACGCGGCCTTTCTGAGCGTAGTTTGCATGTTCTCCTCATGTCTGTGTTCTCCGGCTTCCCCTGCCACCAAAATCATCTCAGAGGGACTTCCCTGGTTAAAAGAATCCCTTCCAATTTTGTCAACACATTTTCTTTCAAATTTGCACCTTACTTTATAGCTGTCTATTCAACACTAGTAGAAGTGCTTTATTTTTAGAATTGCAAACGGAATATTCCATTTCACAGTCTTTTTTTGTTTGCAATAGAAAAAGATATTTTACCAACACCACCGTTTGTGAACTCTCAATTGTGTCTTTAGGAACTTAACAGCAAGCATTGTACAAATAAGCCTCGCAGAATCACGATCAAAGCAGCTGGAGGCCGGATTTACATATGTTTCTGTGTGTGCACGGGGCTTCTCAAGGCTGTAAAAATACAACAAACTTTCTTATTTGCTTTCTCTTTCCCTGCGCAGATCCTGGCTTCAGACGGCGTCCAGCAGAGCGTACCCGTTGCGGTGACAATAACTGTGCTGGATGCCAACGACAATGCGCCAACCTTCGGCAACGTGTCGTATAATGTGAACCTGTTCACAGATATGCGGCCTGGGGAGACTGTGATTCAGGTAAATACACACAACGACAAGAACGCTTTCACAGAGAGGCGGAATCAGAGGCAGCGACGCACTTCCCTGTTTCTTCACTCTCTTTGCTATTTTGAGCTGTGTCTTGTTTATGATACATCTCTTGCCTGTGCTCTTACTAGTTTGAGGAAGTGACTAAAACTTAGGATTAAACTTGTGGTTGGACACAGTATATTTATAGTTCACTGCAACGAGTGGTGAAATATGAGGTAGTAATCATAGACTGTATTAACCGACGCAGTCACGCCTACTGTATCTCCCTCGTTCTAACTAATGGGCAACAAATTGGGCTTTCATGGAGTGATTCAAAATGGCCGCAGGGGCTGGAAAATGCGAAAAAACGCATCTGCGCATCTGCGCATGCGTCAGCCGGCACGAGCCCCATTAATTTGAACGAGTGACTACAAAAATTCACAGAGAGTAAACTAGAGTGGTCCAAAAAAATTCACCCCCCTCAGCATTGACACACATGTGGAACGGAGCTTTGGGCCAAGAGCCAACTTTTGGTCCATCCTGTAAAGATGTTTTCGAGAGGTAAGAAGATGCTATATGTTAGCATTGGCTAATTCTTCTTCTGGGTCCACCCCCATCGGCCCGGGGTGGTATTGCAAGCATGTCAGCGCACGTCATTTTGGCAACTTTTCAGCCGGGACCCGTTGTTTTAAAAAAATATTACTTTGAGTACATTCTGATTGTCTTAAAACAATATTTACCAATGGAACAAAGCCATTTAGTGTCATTTCAAGAACTGTTGCTTTATTTATTTGTTTATTCCAGTAGAGACATTTCTTGTATCTTTTTCTTTTTTGCTTGTCCCATTGGAAAATCTTGTTTTGAGATCGTGAAAATGTTCTCAAACTAGGATACATTTAGCCAAATTTGAGTGATTTTTGACTTATTTTTTATCACTGAAAGCGTATTAGAAACTCTTAAGAACCTACAGTAAGAGTCGTGTACAGCTACTTCATTTTAAAACACGCCATCACTGAAAGCTTGTCGAAGTCGTTTATTAGTTACTGCTAAGGTACCTAACATTTTTGTCCTCTCAAATAGTGCATTTTGTTTGTCCCAGCAGAAAGATTCTTGTATGAAGTCAAATGTTGTGAACAAATACAAACAAAACAAGCCGTCTTTGAACTCATTAGAATGTATGTTAAGTTTTTCATACTTGTACGAAAGAGCCCTGTGAGTCACTATCTGACACTTTGGGCTGAGAGCTGATTGTCTGTTTCTCATGTTTTTGCCAAAAATACGAAAATCAAACTTCTGTCTTGTTCCTCGCTCTCAAAACAAAGAAAGTTAGGTACCTCAGCTTTAATGCAGTACAGCAGAGTTCACTATGTGTGTGTTTATGATTGCATGATCTCAGTGGCTCAAAGGATGTTTATTTCACAGCTCTCAGCCCTGGACTCTGATGCAGGACCCAATGGGCGGATCACGTACCGCATCTTAGCAGGAGATCAGGGCCAGTTCGTCATCAATAACAGGTACAGTACTAGACTTATACCTTATAAGTTTTGGAACTCTCTTTCATGTACGCTGTAAGTTTATATGTAGTTTATATCTATTATTTTTATGATATTTTATTTTATTTTTTAAAAGTGAGCCGTTCTCTCTTTGCCGTCGTCTTTGTATTCGCTTGGCCACCCACATTCTATGGCAGTAAAAGCTCTGAGGTTCTGAGCACTGAACTATAGCACAAAAGAGTGGTGAGAGTGCTACTAGGGGTGGGCAATATGGGAAAAAATAAATATCTCAATATTTTTTTCCCAAATCCCGATAACGATATTGTCACGATATCTTTCAAATCAATAATTTTTACACAAAATGATCTGCTATGTTTTGCTTGCCAGGGAATCTATAGATAGAGACAGTCAAATAGTAGCTTTTTATTTGTAAAGAGCATCACACGTCTTTGCAAAACACGCTCAAACATTAAACATTAAAAATCAAATTCAAGTAACTTGGGAAGAACACATCCAAAAAGGCTTGCTCAATATTTACTGAAATGTACAAATGAAGCAGTGCTTTTTAGGCACGCATTTGACGAATGGGCATCTGGCCTGCTCTAATTGTGATATGTATCAGGGAGATACATTGGGGAGATTTTTTTTGTGTGAAGAAATGACGATAATGCGAAGAAGCATATCTTCAAATTCACTTTTGCGATATTATCGTCTACAATATATATCGCCCACCCCTACTAGTTACCATAGCGACACATAAAAACTGTTTTTGCGGAAGTTGAAGTTATCTTAACCAGTTTTAGCACTCATTAAAAGTGAACGTAAACCCCTTATAAAAGACTGTTGAAACTAAGCCTTACCTTACCTTACCTTACCTTACCTTACCTTACCTTACCTTACCACTGGGATCATAGCTGGAAACTATCGGTAAAGCTAATACTGACACATTGATAGTAATGTTGATTAATGTGCACTGTTCCTATTCAAATAAAATAATACATAAATAGTAGTTTCTGATTTCTGGGAGTCCCTAGTGTTAGTTACACAATAGAAACAATAGAAACATTACTAACAACAATAAAACCTTGATTCACTCACACTGCGTGCTCTGGATAACATTTACTCTGTGACAATAGATCAGGCTCCTCTAACGATTCCTGTGAAGTGCTGCTTAGCCGAGTATAATTATATATTTTATGAACATTACCGTCCAACTTTTGGAGATTATTCTTCTAATTAATTTGGATCATTCCGTGCGCAGTTAATTAATCCTCATTAAACAAATCAGCAATAATAGCAATGCAGATGGTGGCTTAAACTTTCAATGACATAAACATTAATTTCCCGCTAACACGTTCCTCCCGTCGTGATCTTGCCGTGCAGTTGTGCGTCTATTGGCTGTTGTGCGTCCGCGTGTGTGTCTGACCGTGTGTCTGACTATGTGTGTCTGACTGTGTGTGTCTGACTGTGTGTCTGACTGTGTGTCTGACTGTGTGTGTCTGACTGTGTGTCTGACTGTGTGTCTGACTGTGTGTGTCTGACTGTGTGTCTGACTGTGTGTGTCTGACAGTGTGTGTCTGACTGTGTGTGTCTAACTGTGTGTCTGACTGTGTGTCTGACTATATGTGTCTGACTGACCGTTGTGTCCAGCTCGGGGGTGATCACGGTGGCACCAGGCGTGGAGCTGTCCGTCGGCCGCAGCTACGCTCTGACGGTGGAGGCCATGGACAACGGGCCTGAAGCTCAAAGACGGTAAAGAAATAAAAATTCAAATGTGATGCTAAGGTCTAAGAACAGGGATGAACCGGGACATTTAACAATTTTTACGGCATTGGTCATTGTCCTTTATTATCTGTATATATGTACAGTGTTTGAATATAAAACGCTTACACTATCAATTTGACAAGGTGAACGGTGAAAAGAATAGAAAATAGGAAAGAAAATATAAACAGAGTAATTATAAATATACACAGGGGTGGAAATCTATAAGTTTTTTCTTCCTCCCACTTTTTTTCGAATTTGAATCATAAACAATTTTATAATAAGTTCATAAATGATATATGAGAAATGTACATGTACTGTAGTGACTTTTGATAATAATGTCTGTTGTACATTGAACTTAAATACTCCCTATGGACCAGAGCTGTCAGAATGTGGGTTGCAGGTTTTCATTCCAACCAAGCAGGAGCAGAATGGGTGGAGTCTGGTGTGCTCCAGCTTGATTGGAATGAAAACCGGCAACCCACACCTGCCCTTCCACAGCCCTGCTATAGATTCCTATGTGTTTGTTATTATTGCATTTCCTGCGTTCAAACGGTTTGATTCTCTGATCTGTTGTTGGCGAATCGAGAATGACAAAACGTTCTCTGAGACGACTCCTGTTGATATTCAGGGTATGGAAGATTTCTTGCGTCATAAGATTTTAAACTTTAAATAAGCTTGTATTTTTCCATTTGAAATTTTGAACCATGAATGTTTGAATATTTTTGTATTTTTGTCTTTGCATTGCACACAAAATACCAAAATATCCAAACAGTGAGGGTTCAAAATAAATATATCAAAATATGTGGATGGAATTTAACCTTTTCACATCAATTACAATCAACGCATTTGCAAAATCTCTCCGAAATGACCATGCGTTGACTGAAGCACTTCCTATAGGAGCCCGAGACCAGATTCAACATGTTTAGTCGGAAAAGTGCCATATAAGGAGTGAACGGAGATTGAATGGAGAGCGTTTGACCTCATCTGCAGAGAAATACAATTACACCATCGGACAAGGCTGTCTTTTCACTTACAGACATGTCTCTGTATAGTCACACATCATACTGGAATGGGGTCTATTAAAGCTGGGGTACCTAGCCTTTTTTGTTCATTATACAACACATATAATGGCTGGCCTCGGGAGCACACGATATAGGCACTAAGGTGACTTTATGTCTCTCTCTCTGGCGCAAGAATTTTTATCAGAATTAATAGTTATGTTTTCTTACCATACATAAAATAAACTCAAACTCAAACATTAGGTTACATTTGTGTTTAGTCGTTAACAAGTGAAACGTTGTGGGAAAAATTAGACTAAAACTTGCCTTTATCGCTTTGGAAACATGTTATTTTTTTGCCTATTTGTAAAACAGGAGAATAAGGAAGATAAAAATTAAAAATTAAAAAGGGGGACTTCATTGTATACATGTTCGCATACACATTCATGCACATGTTCACATACAAATATCCAGAGCCAGGAGCTCACACACATTTACCTATCTGTGTGAAAGAGCCCTGTGAGTCACTATTTGACGTTTTAGGCCGATAGCTGTTTGGTTTCGTGAGTGTGGTCCTCTCTTTTTCCATTTTCTGTCAGAAAAAGCACGGGTAAAGTCGTGACAGAGGCCAACAATACATGCATCTATAGAACCGCACTGTTTTGAGAGCAAGAACCTCGTTAGATGAATTAAAACACTTTGAATATTGTGCTTTGAAATGTAAGTACCTAAGCCTAAAATCCAAGCACATACTGTATATTAGCATACCCATACTCTGCTTCCTCCATTTGGCTAATCACATTCCAGCGTTGCTCTATAAAAACGCATCATTTGCCAAGGTTTTGTATGGATTTGGGTTTGTGTTTCTATGGATATTTGATGTTGCGTACAAGTCTTAATTCCAAAGTCGCCCACAAGGAGAGCAGAGAGCAGTGATCAATGGGAACCGGAGGCATGAAGCATAATTCTGTTTGGCAGCGCTGAACAAACGGCTGCTCCGGTTGAACTTCAGTGGGTTTAGTATCGAGTCCAAAGGGAAAATCAAATATAGCAGCGTTGCACTCGTGATTAGTGTGATGTCACATGTGTATTCTATGATTGTAGTAATCTGTGTTTTTAATATTGTGCCATGTCATTTGTCCTTCTATTGTGTTGCGGAGTAGCTTTGGCAATGTGAGGATTATTTTTATTTATTTAATATTTAATTACAAAGACACACAAAGATGTATAACAAAAAATCAAAAACAGACACCAAAAACACAGACAAAATATATTCTATGTTGTTCAAATAAAAGCTTACCCAAGGTACCCAACGTTCAAACTGTAAAAAAAAAAAAAGAAAGTTACCACGTGAAATCCATCAATCCATCCTCTTACAACAGTTTGATTCACATCAGGACTGCCCTTTCTCAGCTCTCAGCCCAAAGCATCAAATAGTGACTCACAGGGATCTTTTCTTGCAAGTATATGTACAATAACATGTTTATATCACAGATGTTATACTTGCTTCTCCATTATGCTAAAGTTATTTCAGATTTTATTTCATTTTAGTATTGAGTTATTTCTCTTATCCTTTGCTATGTGCTCCTCATTCCTACTGTTCTCTTACTGGTGATGCAACACTGAAATTTCCCCACGGTGGGACGAAAATAACGGAATCCTTAATCTTAATCTTAGGATAAAGACCTCAGGCTGTGGTCTGATTTGTCATATGTTATATTAGCGTAAAAATGGCCCTGTGTAGAGAATCAAATCATGAGGCATTTGTGGTTCCCATGGTGACCATTACCCAAATATATATAGATACATAGAGCACTATGCTCTACTGGCATTTTGCTTGCACACAATATCAAAACTGGTATATCTGGCCCCTCACACAAACACAACTCTCCTCCGAGCTTGCTCCATGTCACTCCTAAATCGATACTCCCGCCTCCTCCACTCCCCCGCACTAAATCTTCGGCCTCCAAGTGATTGGCTGTCTCGATTGTCCCCCAAAAAACTTCCCTCAGGCCCCTGTTTATCTGGGCTCAAAACATAACCAAGTACAAATCAATCGCCTTTTCGGTCTTGTCCCTGGAAGCCTCCCCTTCGTGGTGGGCGCCAACAAGATGCTAGTTGGAGCAGGCTTTTTCACCCTCTCTCTCTCTCGGACTTTGATTGTAGCTATGGAGATTTCCAAATGTGTATGTGCACTGGGCGCCCTGGAGAGACATGTTTTCTTTCAGATTAGCAGTGCTTTTACATGGCCTACATAGAAAATACTGCAAACACGCTACGCTCGGGGGTTTCGACGCGCTGTTGGGGAAAAGAGAAGGGGAAGGAACAAGGGCATCGCCATCAGAAAAGGCGCTCTGCCAAAGATGAATAACCTGATGAATACTAAATATGTAGTGGATGGTTTCAAAGCCACAAGTAGCCAGAGCCTCTTTTATTTCCTGTCGTTTGCTGGTATAGAAATGCAGTAGATGATCTTTAGTGTTGTTCTGAGGTGAAACTAAGGAGGACCCAAAATGCAGGAAGGCAAACAGATTTAATGATGATTATCAAATAAATGGTCAAAACAAACTCTAAAATCCAAAAAGCAACAAGAACATGGACAGACAGACAAAGACAATGGACATGCAACAACAGGGAAAGAGCACAGGGTATATTTAGACACAGGGAGACAGAACGGGAAGTCAAACTAAAACAAAACCACAAGAGAATTAATGTCAACATTTTTTACTAAATGACAAATAATTCACAACATGACAGTTTTGCTTTTAAAGGGACCCTATGTAATAAGTGCTCTTAGTGATCTAATAAAGCAGCCAGAATGTTCCTGCTGTGATTCATGTAGCTCCTAAACACGGATTACAGATGCAGTCCACCTGCTTGGGTGTCAATGGAATTAGTACAATTTCTATAAGTTATATATGACTGCTTATTTTTGCATCTGCTTTCATTTAGAAAAATGTCAAGTGGTTATAAAAGTACTGGTTATAAAACAGAGCCCAAACCAAAAACTCAGATCATTTAATTAAATTTTGTCACATATAAACGAATCAGATGTGACTCTGTTGCAGATTGAGGTCTGGCACAGCTGTTGTGTGGTTCTTTAGACTAATAAATGTTAACAATGATACAACTCTGTGTGTAGTTTTGGCCTGGAAGTAGGACCAGAGCTTAGACTTATATTAGGAGCGGACAAACGGAATCACTGTAGCGTTAGCCTTTATGCATTAGAAGCCCATTTTAACATTAGCTAGCTTGAATCAATTTCCTTATATGGTCATTTGTTCTGTCGGGGTTAGCTTCACGCTGTACCAAGGGCAAACATGTTGCTAAGATGGTTGCTAAGGCCAGCTGGAGCGTCCCCAATGAAAGAAGGCATCTCCTCAATCCATATACGGCTCATATCTGGATTTACAAAGACAATATCGCAATAAAAAACACCAGGATCACAGAGAGCGATAATCACCAATTTTTAAAACCCAAAATGGTGAGTGTGACACAAACAATAACTGAGATGGATGAGTTTATTTTTCAATTTAAGTCGATAAGAGCTGGAGCTAAACTGTGATCATTAGCATTTAGTTATTGAGCTTCTTTGAGCTAGCGGATTAGCATTTTCCATCTGTGTACAGTCCATGGACCAGACTATAGATTTGACTTGTTAAATAAAATACTAAATGGAGTCTGGGCAGAAAACAAGAAAAAACAGCCAATACCGATATATCGATATTGGCCAAAATCTGTGTTGATTATAGCCCCCGAGCCAAAACTAAAGCACAGCCTATTTAAGTGGCTTTTGTTTTTTTATTTTATCAGTGACAATTCTTGGTCTTGGCCATTGAAGTATTTGGGCTGTTATCAAATACTTATATATAACTTAATCTTATTCAAATGATCAGAAACTCATTTTCCTAATCCTCGCCAAGGCAATAACCTAATATAATAATGAGATGGGTGTTATAACCAGAGCGTCTGTGCTTCAAATCACACAACTCCACATTTTCATTCTAGAATAGACCTCACAATTTACCAGAAAATTCCTCTTCTGGTCTGGTTTCTTCTGTAGAATTCTGTCGTCTTTATTACGTGTCCAGAGATTCGTCTCAGTCCTAGCATTTTGGTGTCTTGATAAAGCCATTCAAAATAATTCATATGGCAGATGTCTATTTAGCTCTTCAGTGATTTTGCCCTGGGCTCTAAACGTGCAGTGTTTGCAACATTCACTGGTGATAAAATAGAAATGTGCAGAAAAACAACTGTTGGCAGCTCTGACAGTGAAGCAGGAGGTCGTTATTGTGATTGTGCAGTCGTGTCGTCCTGATTAAGAGATCCTCCAACAGTGGATACTCGGGACATTTAATGGTTTTGTTTGACAGTGTAATTAAAACTAGTGCCACTGTTTAATATTGATATCTATTATTACATAGAGGCTTTAACACGCTTATGTGAAGGCGCCCCTGTGCTCACAGTCTGGACACAGATAATCTAAGAATCCCAAAGACATGGAAAGAGCCATCTACCTCAATCCATCATATCCTGTAATAGAATAAGGAAAAGTTCATATGAAATTTTTTCCCATGGTTTACATACAGCAGATTTACATTTAAGGGATGGAATTAAATGAAAACTATCCATCCATCCATGTATTTTCTAACCCTTTATCCATTTCTGGGTTGGGGGGGTGGCAGTCAGAGCTGCACCCAGTACACAGAGCACCAGCCCCTCACTGATCCTCCTGCAGGTGCTGAGTCCACAGGAGCTGAGATCTTTCAGCAGGGGCTTGCCCAAGGACACAACGACAGCAGTCATCAGTGGGAGTTGTGAAGTAGGTCTTGTGGTGGGCTCGAACCCGAAAACTAATTTGACAATATTTTCTTTTAAAGGATAGGCAGTTAGTGGGCAGTCCCTCCTGTGGGCTCACCACCTGCAGAGGGGTCCGTGGTGGCGAGGTGCAGAGAGGACTGGGCAGCAGTCGAAGGCGGAGACCTCGACGACCCAGTCCACACACCCAACATCTGGCTCTTGGGACGTGGAACGTCACCTCACTGGGGGGGAAGGAGCCCGAGCTTGTGGGGGAGGTTGAGCGATACCGACTAGAGATAGTCGGCCTCACCTCCACACACAGCTTGGGCTCTGGAACCCAACTCCTTGAGAGGGGTTGGACGCTCCACTTTTCTGGTGTTTCCCGCGGGGAGAGGCGGCGAGCTGGGGTGGCCATACTCATTGCCCCCCATCTCAGCCGCCACGTGTTGGAGTTCTCCCCGGTGAATGAGAGGGTCGCGTCCCTCCGCCTCCGGGGGGGGGACAAGTCTCTCACTGTTGTGACGGCCTACGGGCCTAACGGTAGTGCAGAGTACCCGGCCTTCTTGGAGTCCTTGGGAGGGGTACTGGACAGTGCACCGCCCGGGGACTCCGTTATTCTCCTGGGGGACTTCAACGCCCATGTGGGAAATGCCAGTGACACTTGGAGAGGGGTGATCGGGAAGAGCGGCCCCCCTGATCTGAACCCGAGCGGTGTTCAGTTGTTGGACTTCTGTGCGAGTCACGGCCTGTCCATCACGAACACCATGTTCGAGCACAAGGGTGTCCATCAGTGCACGTGGCACCAGGACACCCTAGGCCGGAGGTCGATGATCGACTTTGTAGTCGTATCATCTGACCTTCGACCGCGTGTCTCGGACACTCGGGTGAAGAGAGGGGCGGAGCTGTCAACCGATCATCACCTGGTCGTGAGTTGGATCCGCTGGCAGGGCAGGAGGCCGGTCAGACCTGGCAGGCCCAAGCGTGTAGTGAGGGTTTGCTGGGAACGTCTTGGTGAGCCCCCTGTCAGACGGACTTTCAACTCACACCTCCGGGAGAGCTTCGCCCAGGTCCCGGCAGAGGAGGGGGACATCGAGTCCGAGTGGACCATGTTCTCTTCCTCTATCGCCAATGCGGCGGCTCGTAGCTGTGGTCGCAAGGTCTCTGGTGCTGGTCCCGGCGGCAATCCCCGAACCCGGTGGTGGACACCGGCAGTAAGGGATGCCGTCAGGCTGAAGAAGGAGTCCTATCGAGCAATGATGGTTCGTGGGACTCCTGAGGCAGCTGTCCAGTACCGGCAGGCCAAACGTGCCGCGGCCCGGGCTGTTGCAGAGGCAAAAACCCGGGACTGGGAGGAGTTCGGAGAGTCCATGGAGCATGACTATCGGTCGGCCTCGAAGAGGTTCTGGCAAACCGTCCGGCGCCTCAGGAGGGGGAAGCAGTTCTTTGCCAACACCGTGTATGGTGCGGGTGGAGGGCTGCTGACCTCGACTGGGGATATTGTCGGGCGGTGGAAGGAATACTTCGAGGTTCTCCTCAATCCCCCCGTCACGTCCCCCGTCCAGGAGGCAGAGGCTGAGGATGTTGGGGCGGATACTTCCATCTCCCTGGCCGAGGTCACCAAGGTGGTTGGCAGCCTCCATGGTGGCAAGGCGCCGGGAGTGGATGAGATCCGTCCTGACTATCTAAAGTCTCTGGATGTTGTAGGACTGTCTTGGCTGACACGTCTCTGCAACATCGCGTGGCGATCGGGGGCAGTGCCAATGGAGTGGCAGACTGGGGTGGTGGTCCCTCTCTACAAGAAGGGGGACCGGAGGGTGTGTTCCAATTATCGTGGGATCACACTCCTCAGCCTCCCCGGTAAGGTCTACTCCAAGGTACTGGAGAGGAGGCTACGTCCGATGGTCGAATCTCGGATTCAGGAGGAGCAGTGTGGTTTTCGTCCCGGTCGCGGAACACTGGACCAGCTCTATACTCTCCATCGGATACTCGAGGGTTCATGGGAGTTCGCCCAACCTGTCCACATGTGCTTTGTGGATTTGGAGAAGGCGTTCGACCGTGTTCCCCTGGGTGTCCTTTGGGGGGTCCTCCGGGAGTACGGGGTCCGGGGTCCTCTGCTGAGGGCTGTTCGGTCCCTGTATGACCGGAGCCAGAGCTGTGTTCGCATTGCCGGCAGTAAGTCAGACCTGTTCCCGGTGCATGTTGGCCTCCGCCAAGGCTGCCCTTTGTCACCGGTTCTGTTCACTGTATTTATGGACAGAATCTCTAGGCGCAGCCAGGGGCCGGAGGGGGTCCGGTTCGGGAACCACAGGATTTCATCTCTACTTTTTGCGGATGATGTCGTCCTGCTGGCTCCAACGAACCAGGACCTGCAACATGCACTGGGACGGTTTGCAGCCGAGTGTGAAGCGGCTGGGATGAGAATCAGCACCTCCAAATCCGAGGCCATGGTGCTCGACCGGAAAAAGGTGCCTTGCCCTCTCCAGGTGGGTGGAGAGGTCCTTCCTCAAGTGGAGGAGTTCAAGTATCTCGGGGTCTTGTTCACGAGTGAGGGGAGGATGGAGCGTGAGATTGACAGGCGGATCGGTGCAGCGTGCGCAGTGATGCGGTCTCTGTATCGGACCGTTGTGGTAAAGAGGGAGCTGAGCCGAAAGGCAAAGCTCTCAATTTACCGGTCAATCTTCGTTCCCTCCCTCACCTATGGTCATGAGCTTTGGGGGTAATGACCGAAAGAACGAGATCGCGGATACAAGCGGTCGAAATGAGCTTCCTCCGCAGAGTGGCTGGGCGCTCCCTTAGAGATAGGGTGAGGAGCTCGGTCACACGGGAGGAGCTCGGAGTAGAGCTGCTGCTTCTCCACGTCGAGAGGAACCAGTTGAGGTGGCTCGGGCATCTGTTCAGGATGCCTCCTGGATGCCTGGGGAGGTGTTCCGGGCACGTCCCACCGGGAGGAGGCCCCGGGGAAGACCCAGGACACGCTGGAGAGACTATGTCTCTCAGCTGGCCTGGGAACGCCTAGGGGTCCCCCCGGACGAGCTGGAGGAGGTGTGTGTGGATAGGGAAGTCTGGGCGTCTCTGCTTAGACTGCTGCCCCCGCGACCCGGCAACGGATAAAGCGGAAGAAAATGGATGGATGGATGGATGGATGGATGGAGGATAGGCAGTTCTTTTTTTCAAATGGAATTTACCTTTCTCACTGCATATTTATATCTCTGACCTTAATAACAACCTTTTACAAACATAATTTGTTTCCTTTGATATAAACAAGAGATTAAAAAACAGCTGACATTTAAAATACATTTGAATCTCTTAAGTGAAATAAATGATATTGGCTTAATGCACACAAAGTGACATATACCATGCATTTGTTTGTTATCATAATTAATATGGCTCACCGTCAGATATCAAAATATTCCAATTTTGTAAGATTATTTAGTTTTATTTGTGCTTTTTACACGCGGAAAGCCAATTAACCACATTATGACAACAAAGACTCCATATATCTCACTTTAATGAGTCTGGCATGTTATTGTAAGACAAAATACAAAAGTAAATGGACGTTTGAACAACTCATTTTCCAAGTGCACCTTTACTGACTACATAACTTTACCATCTCAACCCATTCTTTTTCCCCATAAATATTTGCATCAGTGTCGCCCACGTCCTTCTCAAACAGCGCCTGCGTATCCATAATAATTGCCCATGCACAGCTTCACCTGCCATTGCCGGCTGCATTGTTAGCGATAGCATACGTCCAACCAACACAAGCACCTCTATTTGCTTTAAGTGCCAGATCACAGCGGGCGGACGCTTTAACTGCCTCTCGAGAGCAATGTCTGTCCGCGGCGCTGTTGACTCCCATCGATTAGTTAAACTCGGCATGAAGCGCAAAGAAGCAAGCACTGACCAGCCATTCTCAACTTCAATAATAGACTGTTTCAACCTCTCCGACCGCCCCCCTCCTTCCGCACACTGTTTTTCTAATCTATTCTCGTCCCTCTGTAGGTCGTCCATTACTACAGTCTATATTGAAGTTTTCCCTCCGAACAACCAGAGCCCGCCTCGCTTTCCGCGGCAGCAGTACAGCCTGGAGATCAGCGAGGCGATGAGGCCGGGAGCCACTCTGCTTAATCTACAGGTGATAAGTGTGCGAATGATTGATTGAATGATTTCCAGGGGTTTCGAGAATAAAGAACTAGGATTGTTGTCAGCTTAATCCCAAAACAGAAATAGCATATTTATGAGTGTGTGGAAAGTCGGATGAGCCAAAACATTATGACCATGTGTGTGTATAAAGCAGTATTCTTCCCTCACTTTCCCCCCATCACTAAGGTTCTTACACTAAATAAAAATGGTTGTGTTACTGTTGGTATTCACAATTAACTGAAGCATACTGGGGTGTCCAACCATGTCCACTGGCAAGCTACGTTCTCGGGGGTAAAAGTACCTCCTCCTTTAGACAGATGAGAGAAAGTCAACATGTGCGCTACAATTAATTAAAGGTATATAGAAGGATTTCCCAAAATTAGCCCAGTTCTCCTTGTGCACGCTCTGTCACTGTTGGCATCGCTCACACAAGCTCACAAGATTGATGTCAGACAATATAGACGTTGATAACTTTTACTAGAAGTGATTTGAAATGGATTTCTCTAAATTGAATCCAAACTTTATCTCTTGAGTAGAAACTTGGAATCAGTGGGAAGCCCAACCTTGGCTTTCAGCGCCATCGTGTGAAAGAATCTCCCAAAAACACTTTGGTCTTGTTTGACGAGCACGTACGACGGAATCTAGTCACATATCACCAGATTGATTGACGATTATGAGAACCAATAGTCTTGATGATCCACCCGGAAAAACCTCCTATATATTGTACCTTTAAGTAGTGTATCTTTTTGAATACATTTTGATCAATGAGGATGAATCAGCTTTGTCTCATGTCAAACATAGTAAAGCAATTATATTTTTTGCTCCATTGGCAAATTATGTTTCAAGACTGTCAAAATGTGTTCTTATTATTTTAGCCAAACTTGGGTTATGTATAACTTTTTTGGCATTTTTTACAATGCAGTCTTACACCCACACAACTATCTATCACAATGTATTAGTGCTCAAAGCTAAAGCAGAGATTTGAAATAGTTCCTGTATCCTGTAGCCCACCTGCCTCAACATGTTGGAGACCCCTGCTTTAAGTCATAGTTGTACATAACATTTGCTATTACTGAAAGCACAGAGATAAGCAATAACATGTATGTCCCCCCCAAAGGCTCCTACTACATATACCACTGTATATCTAACATCTTTAAGTTAAGCTCCATTGCCCAGTGCAGATTGTGTGTGCGTGTAACAGGCTTGTATCACATATTTACCTCTCCAAAGCAATGAGCGCCCCAGAAGAGCGGAAGTTGGAAGCTTATCTAACATGCAGCACTTAAATATGCTTTTCCAAGAACGCTTTGGTGGTTTCATCTTATAAACCAGATGTACAGGTATAAAGGGATACAGAGATCTTTCTTCCTAATATTCTCCTCCGCTGTTTGAGGGTTTGATGTCGCTGATAAGAAAAGCACAAACTTGTAATTTGTGTATTTTCTGTTTGCTTTTGAAGGCCGTTGATCGTGAGCGAGATCCAATAGCTTATGAAATTACCAGCGGAGATCCCCGCGGACATTTCCAACTCCAGCACAAGTAAGTATATTTACACACATTACAGGGACCATCAGAGAGCCATGGAATGCACGCTCCTCATATTTATCTCTGAAAATATTTTTTAGGGAATAAACATCCAGACTAAATGACTGAATTATTATTATTATTATACAGCGCTTGGCTCGGCTACGGGCCTCGTCCAAATGCTCAATATTTAACAGCTATGTTCTCACATTCACTCATTTATTCCATCAGTCTCTCATTCATTATGTATTTGTGACAACCCACATGCGTCTGCCACTGATACAAATAAATAAACGTGGCGACATCGTTCAATAAATAACACATTTGTTTTCTCAAGAGCGAGGTACTTATGTCGTATTTGCAAACTAATAACATTTACATTCTTACGAGTATGCACACACTTATTTGACGTTGTCTGCTTGGTCTGGACCATGGACTGTATACAGATGGACAATGCTAACCCGCTCGCTCAATGAAAGCCCTATAGGGAAGTGCTCATGGACAAAGTTTTGCTTCTATTCGCTCTGGCTCCTATTGGCCTACAGTATATTGAAAAGTAAACTTCTCTAGCTTAGTAACGGTTTATGTCACTCTCACTATTTTAGGCTTAACAAATCTGTGGTTTTACTGCGCTCTATGGCCCTGGAATATTGTGTTTGTAAATCCATATATGATTTGACCAATCAGATGCCTTCATGTGCAGGGGGAAACTCCAGCGTGTCCTAGCAACCATCACCAAATAACTTTATCATAGCATAACACTAGGACTCCCAGAAGCATGAAACTAGGACTTTCTCTTCAAGGGCATCTGAGCGATATTAATCTCTATTTCTAAACCAAAAGATAATTTCATGAAAATAAATACATTGAAAAAAACTACATAAAGAAACAGAAAACGTGACAAAGTTATGAAGATCAAAAATGGTCATGAGCCGAGTAATTACACTAAAACTAAAAACCGTCAAGTTCTAGTGTTACGGTGCAAAGCGAGCCCGGGAAAAAATGCCCATATAAGGATGTTGGCTCCTGCTAGCTTTTGTGTGCAGCAGAGTCCAAGGACAGTGGATGATCCAGGAAACCCCACATTCAACAACGTTTATAGACACGGGTCATCTGGACCTTATGGACCGATGACTCTATGTGTATCATGGAATTTCTTGGGTAAACTGTTAGATTCTCTGATCTGCGTTGGCAAATCGACAGCTTTGTAAAGTCCTCTGAGATAGCTACTGTTGTGATTCCGGGCAATGCAAAAACAAATTGAATGGAATTGAATGTTGAAAATCGGCCTTTTCCGCATTCAGCTAACACCGAGGTGACGTCAGCTCTTGCTCAGTCCACTCCTCATAATAATAATAATAATAATAATAATAATAATAATAAATAATAATATATTTTATTTCTTAGGCGTCTTTCTTTACACTCCAGGTCGCCTTACATACTAGCAAAGAGTACATTTAAAACAGTTAAAAAACAAATGTAAGCAGCATGTACAAAGGTTATGTGGTAATGTCTATGGTCATTTCCCGCCCTGCCCGCCTTCCTGCAACCAAAACGAGTGCAAAAGTCGATAATGACCGCAGGTAATCGTGCCTCGGTTCTGCCTCAGACCCTAAAGCACTAAAACAGCTTATCCCCTCCTCTCGGCACATGTGCTCCCCGCTGCAGCTTCGTATTGGCACAGCACCGTTCTGTTTGCCATTGTTTTTGAGCCAGATCTGTCCCATTTCAAACACCCCACCAGTTCAGTGGGAGAGCATCCAGGCATGCTTCAGTCTGCAGCGTGTTTGTAGTGCGGCGCTGGCAAACGCTCCTCCAGCAGCAGAGGAAAATAAACCGCCACAGCGTGAGAACAGTGCGACCGGGTGAACAATGGCTCCCAGCGATTGGATACTTTGGCACAAGTATGATCTTGGTTCTTCAGGTCTATTTGCTCCCTCTATTCTCGGTGTGCTACGTTCCCAAGCATAAAAGCTCCGGTCTATTCTCTCTATCTCTCTCTCCCTCTCTGGTCTCACTCTCTCTGGTCTCTCCCTGGTCTCTCTCTCCCTGGTCTCTCTCTGGTCTCTCTCTGGTCTCTCTCTGGTCTCTCTCTGGTCTCTCGCTGCAGTCTCTCTCTGGTCTCTCTCTGGTCTCTCTCTGGTCTCTTTCTGATCTATCTCTAGTCTCTTTCTGATCTATCTCTAGTCTCTCTGGTCTCTCTCTTTCTTGTCTTTCTTTCTTGTCTCTCTCCGATCTCTTTCTGATCTATCTCTGGTCTTGCTCTGGTCTCTCTCTGGTCTCTTTCTGATCTATCTCTAGTCTCTCTCTGGTCTCTTTATTGTCTCTCCTTTCTTGCCTCTCTCTCTCTGGTCTCCCTCTTGTCTTCCACTGGTCTCTCTCTCTTCGATACTTTGATACAAATATGATACAAAGATGGCGCCTCGTACGGTCGACATGGCTCTTTGCTGCTCTCTTTTTCTTTTGTTTTTACTTTTTAACTGCGCATCTGGCTGTTCCTACACCCGTGAGGAACTTATGAACATCCGACCCACCGTTCCCATGGACCTATTGCCTGTTTTCTTGGCATCTGCGGCTGATTTAGTTCATGTTCTAGCCAAAAAAGTGTGGGCCCGTAAAAGGGGAAAGCGCGGAGGCCTGCTCGTGCGTCTTAGGAGGAGAGGAGCACGCACGGCTCTCCCCGGCATTTTTCTCTCCAACGTACGCTCACTGGGCAATAAGATGGACGAACTCAGCCTGCTCATGAGAAGAAACAAGGACGTCGCCACATCCTGTGTCCTCTGCTTCACTGAGACCTGGCTAAATGAGCGGATCCCGGACTGCGCTCTGGAGCTGCAGGGCTTTGGGCTGTTCCGCGCGGATCGCCATTGTGCGCTCTCAGGGAAGAGCAGAGGCGGAGGGCTGTGTTTCTACGTCAATACAAACTGGTGTAACGATGTGACAGTGATCTCCAAGCACTGCTCTCCTGCTCTGGAATATCTTTTCATTCATTGTAAACCATATTACTCCCCGCGCGAAATTGTTTCATTCATTCTTGCCTCTGTTTACATACCGCCATGCGCGGACGCGCGCGAGGCTCAGCGCGCACTCGCAGAGCAAGTACTGTGTATGGAACGCTTATACCCGGACTCTCTGATTATTATCCTGGGGGATTTTAATAAGGGAAACTTGAGCCAGGAATTACCCAAATACAGACAGTTTATCAAATGCCCGACCAGAGACCGTGCGCGGAGCTTTTCGAGCTGTTCCCAAGCCAGCCCTCGGCTTCTCAGATCACTCCATGATACATCTGGTTCCTGCTTACAGACAGAGACTAAAGCTCTCGAAACCTGCAATGAGGAGCTCCAAAGTGTGGTCTGATGAAGCTGTGGAAGAGCTGCGCGCATGCATGGAATCTACAGACTGGGACCTTTTCAGAGCTGCCACAGATAGTTTGGATGAATACACGGACACTGTGACGTCATACATTCACTTCTGTGAGGATAGCATCATTCCAACAAGGACCAGGGTCATCTACAACAACGACAAACCCTGGTTCACTGCTAAACTCCGGCAGCTCAGGAAAGCAAAGGAGTCTGCTTTCAGGGAGGGGGACCGCAGCGGCTACAAAGCAGCTAAATATCAGTTCAGGAGAGAACTGAAAGCAGCCAAGTCCCGGCACAGAGAACGACTACAGGAGCAGTTTGGTAACAACAATACTGCTTCTGTCTGGAGGGGCCTACGGGAGATCACCAACTACAAACCCAAAGCCCACCCCCTGTGCTGACGACCACAAGCTAGCTGATGATCTGAACTTATTTTTCAGTCGCTTTGATGCTGCCCCTGACACCTCTCCCTCCCCCACCCCCCACTACTCTAACGACCCACCCATCAGCCCTGCCCCCAGCCTAACAATAGCCGCTAAAGAGATTAAACAACTCTTCCTGAGGCTGCACCCCCGCAAAGCTCCTGGCCCGGACCACGTGTCTCCGGCCACTCTGAGACACTGCGCCAGTGAGCTTACTCCTGTGTTCACGGACATTTTCAACACCTCTCTGCAGTCCTGCCATGTCCCGGCCTGCTTCAAATCCTCCATCATTGTCCCCGTCCCGAAGAAGCCCAGGATCACAGGACTCAATGACTACAGACCTGTAGCACTTACGTCTGTCGTCATGAAGTCATTTGAACGCCTGGTTCTCTCCCATCTCAAGTCCCTCACCTCCCCCCTCCTGGACCCCCTGCAGTTCGCCTACAGAGCCAACAGATCTGTAGACGACGCCATTAACCACATCCTACAGCACCTGGACTCCCCGGGGACCTACGCCAGGGTCCTGTTCGTGGACTTCAGCTCTGCCTTCAACACAATCCTGCCATCCCTGCTCCAGGACAAGCTCTCCCAGCTCAACGTGCCCGATTCCACCTGCAGGTGGATCACTGACTTCCTGACGGACAGGAAGCAGCGAGTGCGTCTGGGGAAGAATGTCTCGGACTCTCGGATTATAAATACAGGAGCCCCACAGGGCTGTGTTCTTTCTCCCCTGCTCTTCTCCCTGTACACCAACCACTGCACCTCCAGCCACGACTCCGTGAAGCTGATCAAGTTCGCGGACGACACCACCCTCATTGGACTCATCTCCAACAACGATGAGTCCGCCTACAGGAGGGAGGTGGACCGGCTGGTGTCCTGGTGCAGTGGTAACAACCTGGAGCTGAACGCCCAGAAGACAGTGGAGATGATTGTGGACTTCAGGAAGAGCACTGTCCCCCCACCCCCACCCTCCGTGATGGACTCCCCCATCACCTCTGTGGAGTCCTTCCGTTTCCTGGGCACCACCATCACCCAGGACCTCAAGTGGGAGCCGACCATCAGCTCCCTCATCAAGAAGGCCCAGCAGAGGATGTACTTCCTGCGGCAGCTCAGGAAAGCCAAGCTGCCTGCACAGATGTTGGTGCAGTTCTACACGGCCATCATCGAGTCCATCCTCACCTCCTCCGTCACCGTGTGGTTCGCTGGAGCCACAGTCAGGGACAAACAGAGACTACAGCGCATTGTGCGCTCTGCAGAGGAAGTGATCGGCCGCAGCCTTCCATCGCTGCAGGACCTGTACGTCGCCCGAGCTCGAGGCCGGGCTGGTCGTATCACAGCCGACCCCTCTCACCCTGCACATGGACTATTCCAACTACTCCCCTCAGGCAGGAGGCTGCGGTCCATCAGGACTAGAACCTCCCGCCACAAGAACAGTTTCTTCCCCTCTGCTGTTGGACTCTTGAACACTTCTTAACCTGTCCCCCCGCCCTTTATAAAGTCACTTTACTGCCCATCATACGTCACTTTACTTCACTGTACTGCTGTCACCTTACATTGTGTGCACCATGTGCACTTGTATATTGTAAATAGTAACTGTAACTCTATTTTAAATTTAAATTTATTCTTTAGAAGTGTTTTTTATTCTTATTTTTATTATCTCTTTTTGACTGTTGCACTGAGCCAAAGCAATTTCCTAGTCTGTGACCTCCTGTTACTTACGTGGCAATAAAAATGATTCTGATTCTGATTCTGATCTTGATTCTTCAGGTCTATTTTCTCCTGCTATTCTCTGTGTGCTACGTTCCCAGGCATAAAAGCTCTGACATTTTTTAGATTTAATTTATTTCATGTAATTCTGGCACTCTCAGCATGAGAAAGCCAGATCCCATAGGAAGCTAAGCAGAGCAGGGCATGGTTACTACTGCGATGGGAGATGATGTCTCCACGGTAATAGTACAGTGTCCCATGGTCACAAATATACATGATTTTATGAAGTTACTGACATCCCCTTTAATCACAAAGACAAGCAAACAATGTGACAACGGTTCCACCCATTCATTAATTCTTTATGGAGGAGTCCTACGCAGACACAGGGAGAACATGCAAACTCCACACAGAAAGGCCTGTAGGTGCAATCGAACCCATGTCTTCTGTGAGCACGGGCACTAACCTTTCTCTCCAGTGACCCCTGTAAACATCACATGTTTGTTATTTCTATTTTTAGCCCAAAATTAAGACCGGTTAAGATTCAGTTGACATATCGTGTTAGAGATCCAGGCCGTGCACACAGTGGAAATGCACATCACTCGAAAAAGCAAGCATTTTGGAAAGTATCACTATCCTTGGGCTATTGTGACAAGCACACCCCAAAATAAGTCCCTATATGATCGTTAGCTTGGCGCTAAATTACCCATTATGATAGATAAACTACACTACTGGGTGCCGTGGCTTTTATACAGCGTTATCAACCTCGGCATATGTTCTCTCCAGTGTCCGCACAAAGACAAATGCACCGTTTTATACACACAGCCCACTGCTGCTGTCCCCTGTTACTTCTTATGCACAGATACAACTAAAGTACATGCGTTTCTATGGTACACCTTTTGTCATTCACCAATTCACTGTCTCTCTCTGGTATCTATCGCTCTCTTATCTCTCTCTGGTCTCTCTGTTATTTCTATAGTCTGTCTCTCTGGTCTCTTTTGTCTCTTTTGGTCTCTTAGGCTGGTCTCTCTCTCCAGTCTCGCTCTGGTCTCTCTCTCCAGGCTCGCTCTGGTCTCTCTCTCTGGTCTTACGCTCTCTGGTCTCTCTCTCTCTGGTATTGCTATAGTCTGTCTCTCTGGTCTCTCTCTCTTCTCTCTCTCTTTCTGGTCTCTCTCTCCAGTCTCGCTCTGGTCTCTGTCACTGGTCTCTATCTCTGGTCACTCTCTCTGGTCTCTCTCTGGTCTCTCTCTCTAGTCTCTCTCTCTTTTCTGGTCTCTCTCTCTGGTCTCTCTCTCTCTGGTCTCATGCTCTAGTCTCTGGTCTCTCTCTCTCTAGTCTCTCTCTGGTCTCTTGCTCTCTCTCTCTCTCTCTCTGGTCTCTCTCTAGTTTTTACATAATTATTATTTTGTTAATATCTTATGTTTTAGGACCATCAATGATTGTCTTTTCTTTTGTCGGCTACACTGAACCATCTCCTGTAACCGCCTCTGTGAAAGGCGCTCCATAAACACAACATTGCGTCTCTGCGTTTTTACTCCCACATTTCCTTGATTAACTTTCCTCTAAGCAGTCCCCCGCAAGTTAAAGTTGAGTTAAAGTTATCCATTAATCTTAAGTGAAAAATACTTTATGCAATAGATTTGAAGCTTTGTGCTGCAACTGAAAATCAACATAACATTTTTGTTTGTGAAACCAGTAAAACATTTTATTAATTTAAGTCTGAAAGAAAAGTCTTGTGTCTTATGTGCAACGTGGTGAGAGGATTCTTTCTGTGGTCTCTCTCTCTGGTCTCTCTCTGGTCCCTCTCTCTGGTCTCTCTCTGGTCTATCTCTCTTGTCTCTCTCTGGTCTATCGCTCTAGTCCCACTCTCTGGTCTCTCTTGTTACGACCCAGCTCGGCTAGGGTATGGGCTCTATGCACGCACCACTTCCGCGTTTTAGCTACTACCCCACTTCACTTCCTGTTCGCGGGAAACGGCTTGAGTTTCACTGGAGTTCAGCAGTGGTTTACATGAGTTTCCCAAATAATGCTCAAACGGGAATTAAACTGTGAGGATACTGGGCATTTTTGGGACACAACAGTGCTCTTTGATTGTGCTGTCATTGTGTTTTTGTAAAGTTTAAACATCGCTCTGAGTGGCCACAGTCAAAGCTCTACCTCAGAGAGAAAGCACAGCGACACTTTTGGGTCTGTCTCAGCTGAATGTATTGATCTAATTACTAAAAAACTTCACTAAAACTCACCTAAAAGCCATAGGATAGCATAGGCAGGAAGTGAACGGGCTGTGCTTTGTTAACAGGAAATGACGTCACGCCTCCCCGTGCATAAAGCCCATAGGGAGGTAACAAAAAAAAAACAATATGTTTAAGGGCAAAACAAGTATTTATTAACAGGAATGTAAATGATAGGTTGACATAAATCAAAAGGACACAATACAGGACATAAGGGGATAACTCAACGTTACCAAAACAAACACCAAATCTTTACACTTACACATAGAAACTAAGCACTAAACTGACTGCTGTCTCAAATAAAGCGTAGCGTCACAAAAACAAAACCTCAATGTGACAACTGAAAAGAGACAAACCAAATCAAAGGACTATTGCCACCACTGTGACAGTGACAGACCATGAAGACCAATGGCATACCAGCAACACACCGGCTGGCAGCCTCGAACAGCTGTGGAGACTGACCCCAGGTGAGGAAGCTGGATTGGTCAAGTGCACCGCTGCTCCTCCAATCAGCACCTCAGTCATGGACTTTTGGGAGGTGGGAGGGCCAGTGGTTCTGCAATCACAGGCCAGGGCTCTTGAGACAGGAGGGTTTGCCACACACGCACACAACATACACACACAATCCAAAACAGGAGCAATTTACAGGCCTAGGGCCGTAACATCTCTCTCTCTGGTCTCTCTGAAATTGCGTCGTCACAGTAGCTTTTTCACAATAAAAATAATTATAATAACAATTTGAAAAAAGAATAATAACAAGATAATATTATTAATATTAATATAATATCTCTCTTGTCTCTCTCTCTCTGGTCTCTCTCCCTTGTCTCTCTCTCTGTACATACATAGATACATTTTCAAGTTTCTTTCTGTGCATATTTAATTCTATTTATACTTTTATAACTTTTTTACTCAAACCAGTAATAAAAAGGAGTCTGATTCTGGTTATATGTTTGGCTCTGTTCTTGAAAACACCATGTGCTATAAGACCAAAATATGTCTGTTGCTTTCTCACACCTGCGTCTGACAGCGAGACAGTCATCTGGTTATTACCACATCTCAAAGTCATGCTGTTGTGTTTCAGGACAGGCTATCTGGTGCTGGACAAGGCTCTGGACCGAGAGGCTGTGGATTACTACACTCTGGTGGTCACGGCCTCAGATGGATGGCCAGATGGGGTAAGCTTCACAAAATGCCAATGTTAACCGCTAATCTTGTTCCACTCGTGCCCGGGTCTCTGTGGGACCCGAGCACAACAACTACAGCCAGACAGCCAAGTGCCACAGACCACAGCTGCGGCATCATGGGAGAGAAGAGACCGAGGGTATTTTAGGGGATTCATCTCATTGGATTTTCATGCTTGGAGTTGTGTATTTGCAAATTAGCTGTGATGCTACCGTGCTGCTGTTAGGAAAATGACTGCTATTACCACTACTGCCACAAACTACTTTAATAATGACTATAGGTATACAGTATTCTTACATGCCATCACTATTATGATGAACTCAAGGATTAGATTAAGATGAAGATGAAGAGATGAGATCCTTTATTCGTCCCGCAGTGGAGAAATGTCAGTGTTGTATCACCGGTTACAGAACAGGAATGAGGAGCACACAGCACAAGATAAATTAATAACTCTTTACTAATATGAAATAAAATACAATCTATAGCATTAGCATAGTCTATAATCTCTATCTTTTAGCATAATAAAGATATAGTATTACATATCTAGCGTTTACAGCATGATGCAAGTATAAAATATCCAACATTAGCATAATAAAGAAGCTGTGGTACCTTATTTTATTTTATTTTTTTCAAAAGGCCCTGTGAGCTACTATTTGACCCTATGGGCTGAGTTAGGCTGGTCTTCTCTTTTTCACTTTTCTGTCTGAAAATCTCATTTAAAAATACATGCATGTGAAGACTGATGGTTTTAGAGCCAGGAACTGTTTAACTCCAACAACAAACGTCTCTCCTTTGCAAGTTAGGTACCCCAGCTTTAATGATCGGCCACTCCTCCAATTGGCCACCTAAAAGATTCTTGTCATTTTGTCTTTGGCATCATCAGGCAACTGTGGGTCAGAAAACCATAAGAATAATTAACTACAATCCAAATCGATCGCTAAGAAAAGTGCTTTATTGATTGAAAGTTGACAGGTCTTTTGAGTATGAGGCGGCACACTTGAACCTTCCTGTTCATAAAATGATACTCCCAATATGAATAATGGTATAAACCCAGGGCAGAAGGACAGAGAAACACACACTATTATTAGTGTTTCATGGTTTTGCAGAATCTATTCTCTCGGTGACAAACACACGTCAGATCAACTCATTTCCTCGGCTGCTGCTGCCTCCATGATTACAGGCTGCATCTCGGCACAAGACATAATAGCACATATAGATTTACTCTTTCATTTCTCACCAGGGACAGGAACAGGCTCGGGGGGCTGAGGGGAGCAGTTTGTGGGTTGGATTCAGGATCAGGCCCGATCCTTTCCGTGTTACATCTTTCTTCCCGTGTCTGGGGGGGTTACCTCCAGGCGCTCCCGTTGCCCCATCACCCAAAAATCCTCCAGACCTGTAGTTCTGACTTTTGACTAGCTTCAAGAGCGACCTCTGCCCCGGATATTGTACTCCGCATTGCTGTATGGGTCAAATGCAGAGAACTGGGATGAGTATTGTGTACATTAAAGGTATATGGAAGGATTTTCTACTTCCGGGTGGATCACCAAGACTATTGGTCCTCCCAAGTGTCAATCATTCTGGTGATATGTGCTCATCAAATAAGACCAGAGAGTTTTGTTCAAAAAGTGGAGAGGGCGGTTTCCTAAAATTTGGGAAGATCCTCCTATAAACCTTTAAATATAATCTTCTATTGCAAATGATATTCTGAGCAAAGTTACTGTTCACTGGAAGTTTTTGATATAACTACATACTGTACATCACAGTGGCATGCAAACAGTTATGATTCTTTTATAAATCATTGGTTGTTTGGGTAAGAAATGTCAGCTAAATATATCATATAGGAGACAGACACGGTGATATTTGTGAAGTGAAAGAAAGTTTGTATCATTCACAGGAAGTGTACAAGAATTATTTAAACTGAATTAGATCTCTCTCTCTATCTGGTCTCTCTCTGGTCTCTCTCTGGTCTCTCTCTGGTCTCTCTCTGGTCTCTTTCTGGTCTTTCTCTGGTCTCTCTCTGTTCTCTCTCTCTAGTCTCTCTGGTCTCTCTCTCTGGTCTCTGGTCTCTGTCTCTATTTTGTACATCTTCCTTTTTCAGAAATAACGGCCTCCTATAATTGCTAATTATAGTCTGGATTCTGGAGGAAAGTATTTTGGACTATTCATCTTTCCAGATCATCTCTAATTCAGTCAAGTTTGATCAGTTCCAGGCATGGACAGTTGTTTTTTTTTTTGTTTTTTTTTAAATCATACCGCAAATGGTCATTCATCTTAAATTCTTGGGACTGAGATGTCCGTTCCAGAATGCTGTACTTGTTCCTCTGCATGACCACTTTACTTACCTTTGCCGACTACCCCATGGGGCATAGGCCGCCAAAGAGGTAATCCCAAGCGTCTCAATCTTGGTCTTGCTCAAGCTGTCTCCTCGTGGATCACATCCTCTTGGTGTCCGGCTCCAGATTTGTCTCTGTAAACGCGCAACTTCAACTTTGTCACTGATTCCTAGATATTGTTCTCCAGAATCTGTTGACATTGAGGAGACCGACTTGTTCCTATAGTATTTGTATCTCCGCTGATTCCACCTCAGTCCTCTTTCGAACCCACGGCCTCACTCTCCGCCTTTGCTGCGGTCGTGCGGTGAGATCGACCTGCGTGTGGCCTCTCATAACGGGTCACTCTGTGTCTCTGTAGAGCTCTGGCCCCTCTCTCCTCTGCCTGCTTTAAAAGTCAAATGTACTATTCTTTTGCCATGAAAGTCAAATGAGAGCAGTGGCTGTTACCGCTGCTGCCGAAGCCTCGATGTCCCTCAATCTCTCCCTCTCTCTTTCTCTCTCCACTCTCCCTTCGGACTTACAGCTGCATTTGTGTGCTCTAAAAGTCCACATTATCAGAAGTGTTTTTGTTGTAGTCTGCTGTATGCTGTATATAGGAGTCTTTAAGGCTTTTTTTGTTGAAGTATGTAGTGCCTGGAAAGAGCTAATCGAAACACAAAAAGTCAATACCACTGACTTAATATTTGGTTCTGCAATTTAATTTGAGCCATCTGCACGGCTTGACGCTGTGAAGTGCATGGCAATATTCCCTGCACTCAGCTGATTGGCAAAGAGATCTATGTCTCCTGTCTGCGCTGTTGAGTAGTAGGAAAAAATGAAGAATATATTAAAATATTTGTCCAAGAAACTTTTTTCCCACTTGATCGGTTTGTTTCCTCTATTTTTTCATTCCCGTGCACTTCTGGTTTGAGACTGGGCGATGGTTCAGAACGTACTGCATGTTATTTATTCCTATCAATTGCTTTGATAATTCACCGATTTAGCTTTTGTTTTAATTAGTAGTAGTGAGAATTTTTATTTGAGACCTTATGCAAAATTTAAGAAACAATAAAAACAATAGAACAAGACAGAAAATAAACGGAAATAAAAGAGGAAAAAGATGCTGGACAAAGCAGACGCTAATTTGGCTCCAACTCCTCTCACTCAGTCAACACAACACACACACACACACACACATACGACACAAGCGCAACACACACACACACACACACACACACAGGAGACAGATATATGACTGAGTTTTGACATTTGCTGCTTTACTTTCACCATAGTGTCAAAGTGTTCGTTTATGCTGCAAAGAACAGTCTGAAATATAAAGTGGGAAGGATTTAACAAGTTTAACTCAAGTAAAAGTTACAGTACGAAGCTAGAAGTGAACACAAAAAGAGAACAGTGTGTGTGTGTGTGTTTCCGTGTTTGCCTGTATGTGTGTAAGATTACAATAATGATATAATATAAAAAACAGTAATTATATGTGTCTGTGTGTGTGTTAATTTTTATTATTTTTTACCTGTCAATCCCCTTAGCAGTGATATATACAGTAAATTAGTTTTATACATGCATGGATGTGGTTTTGATAAATATCTTGACCATAGTCATTGGCCACTTCCAGCCCGAGCTTAAATACATCCTCTGCATTTCCGAGCTCTAATATCCTGCACGGTCTCTGGACTTCAAAGCCGTCTTCTGCCTGACCCGCTCCCTCCTAATGTAATTTTATGAAAAGGTAAAGTTGAAGTCTCCGGTGAGTTCAGCAAAGTCTTATTCAAATACAGTGACCTTCCTTAACAAACAGCCCGACTTCCTTCAGTGCTGAGGAAGATTGTGGAAAAAAGGCGATAGAGGTGGAAGTGAGATCCTTATTACTGAAACTTCTGTAGCCCGCACTCGTATGCAATTTGAAAAACATCTCCAACGTCCGGATACTTAGTCAATTGCTCTCTGGACCTTGACAATTAGCGCATTATCTTTCTGCCCAGAAGCGCCACGAGTTGAGAAATGGGCGAAAAAGTATAATTTTTCTGCTTGACATCCCATTATGCAGTGCAGGGCAAAAGTTGAGTATTTAAGAACTGAACAGAACAAAGAAAGCTCCACGGATAAAGGGAAAGAAACAATGGCCAAAACAGGCATTGTATTCATTCACTTTATTAACCTAGTGTCCAGATGAGGACTCGCTGAATCCAAACACATTGACGTTTTTTAATTAAATTGATTCTGCTACTACTTATTCTGCTACAGCTTCCAGCACTCCCACGTTTCAAAGATCATTGCTTTATGTTTATTTGATGAATTGAAACTTTTTGAATGATAAACTTTTGATCTCACAACGGAGAAAAGTTACTAGTGGTAGCAGTAGTAGTACAGTGACAGACAGACTGGTTGGCGCCACCTAGTGCCTCGACCCAGGTCTGGGTCAGGTATCGCAGAAACGCTCACGACTCCGAGAACCAGGAAGTGCAATCGACCAATCAGCACCTGTTTGTAGTTCAACAAAGCAGTAAACAAAGCAGTGGAGATGGATTCAGACTGAGTCATGAACAGTCTGTGCTTTAAAATATACACAAACATGAAAATGAAATCAAGCCCAAACAAAGAGGAGGTTTGGAGAATTTGTTTCCAACTCGTCAGGGCAGCGATTGGTTGAAGCACAAAGGTACACGCCCATTGTAGAACAAACAAATCAGAACGCTGTGATTTCCGAGTGAAATGAAACCGACAGCTGCACCAGGTCCACTGGATTTACTTTAAGGTTTTAGTTTGTCACATATCCGGTCAAGATTTGTGCTGAAACAATAAATCAAAGCTAATCAAATTATTCAAATTGAAATTGTGATCATAATTTTATTGCCATTTACTCAAAACCCCACAACACAAATTACAACACTTATTTACACAAAAATGTATCTGTCTGGGGCCAGTCCTGCTCTGAAAGTAACATAAGATTAATATTGTGTTTTAACATTCATGTATGTAAACTTTAAGAATGTAAAATTGTGAATAGATTAGTCAATTAGTAGAAGGTAAGGATCAAAAGATTATTTGATTACCAAAATAATAGCCTGAATAATAATAATAATTAAAACAAATAATATTACATAGGTTTTGTATAGCACTTTTTGAACACTCAATGTGATTATTCTTTCACTCCAGACACAGACAAACCATGTGGCCTGAAACAAATTGTCAAATCTTAAAAAAAGAAAATTGAAAATTGAAAATAACTCCTAAAACCTAAATGACCACTTTTACGTAAGTTTATCTCAATTCACGCGGCGCTAAAACTTTTTCTGTGCTGTATTTACACACAAAAAAGTGAGGATGCTATGAGGCGCAGAGAGAAAATAGCAGAAGAGAAAGGCTGTAGAAGATTGGGTGTAGTTGGCTCACATGGGCCCATTAATCAGCATCACTCCAAAGGCCTTGGGTCGTCTCCATATGCGCACAGACACACACACACACACACACACACACACACACACACACACACACACACACACACACACACACACACACACACACACACACACACACACACACACACACACACACACACACACACACACACACACACACACACACACACACACACACACACACACACACACACACACACACACACACACACACACACACACACACACACACACACGCACACACGCACACACGCACACACACCGCTGTCCCCCATTATTAAATGTCCTGTTGTGAGAGTGTCAGACTACAAAGTGCCTAATTGGCTATTTGGCCGGTGAATCCATCATACTGCCACACTATGAGGGCCCTACAAACCGCCGGCTCTACTGTACCGCCCGACATTGTGGTGAGAAGCATTTAAAAAGTTTGCCACGGACTACAAGGTGCTGGCGACGGGCGCGGCTTTAGATCGGCCTTTGCGCCAATGCGTTTGTTTCTGTCTGTTGTTTTTCAAATGGAAAATCGTGTTTTCGAAGTCGTGTGAATTGTGCGGACGAGTGTTTGTGTCAGTGTGTATCAGCGAGGGGTGAAACAAGTCCAGGGGAAATGGGGTGAATTCTGCTCCATATTAAAAATCCTGAAATAATTGCTTCGAACAAAAATAAAATTGTCCTGGATATTAACTTACGTGACTTTCTGTACAACACTCAAACGGTCGAGAAACATGATTAACAACCACATTCAAAAACCTCTGACAATAAAAACAGATTCTGCAATATTTCTGTCATTCAAAACCTCTACAAGATTCATAATTGTTTTCAAAAATGCAAGTTTGTGTCAAAAAAGCTATTTCCTCAACAGGAACTGTGCTAACAAATTGCATTCTATTCCAAATGCTTTGATCAATAAGTTATAGAATCTCTTCCAAAAGCCAGCTTGACGATGCTAACCTTTATCCGTCTCTTAACAATGTTGGTCAGAAGATTTTCAACTCAAAGATTAACGGTTATGACCCTCCGAACTTTCCTTTTGACATCGTTAAATCTAAGCATCTAAATCCTTTATGAGCAACACTAAAGACTTGGCGGCGGGCCCAAGTCAACATAAATAACATGAATATTTGTCAATGTCAAAAAGCCTCTCTCTGGTTCCAAGCCACTCTGATTGACATTCTCTGTACATTCAGACAGAAGGGCTTTGTAAAGTGTGTGACCCGGAACCTCAGATTATATACAGAAACACATTCTCCACTCTCACACATTCAGTTCTGTCCAAGCTTTAACCAATGCTTCTATCTGTCTGTCTCAATGTGACATTTGCTCTCATAAAAGTAACATAAGATGGCCCTGACCTCCCGCTCAGTTCCCCCTGTGCTGAAACTGAAAGGTGTGACTCGTGACTCAAACAGCTCTGGACCCAGTGCATTAGAAGTTCACAAAGGTCCGTTTGGCTTTTGTTAACTGTTTGTCAGTTTGTAAGTATAGAATTACCGGATTAAGGCTTAAGTCTACAAACAAGGGTCTGGGCTCAGCTCCCGGAGTCTGTTTTGTACTGACTTCTAAGTATATTCTCACATTCACAATGATACATTATTCTTAGATCCCCTTCTTAACTCTGGAACTCAGAGAGCAGTCTATTTGTGTTTATTCCTGAGCTTATGTACATTTTTGGTCTCCTTGACTTTTTCTGTATCGTTGTGCTTTTATTTCTGTCATTATTTTAATGAAATCACCTCTACTTTTGAAACGTGAGTAGTTCTACTCTTAAAGATGCAGTTAGCGATTTTGTTAGCTTTGCCGTAGCACCAGCTGGAAACCACTCCCCCCTCCCCTCGCCTCTCCACCAAACCAAACATCCAGCATTTTTCTTTGTCACAACAGGGAAAGTGGGCGGCAAACGTGAAATTGGCATTTTCTGTTCAGCCATAGATTGCACTCGCGAGAAACAGGAAGAGGGTGAAGGGGGTAAACGCATCCCATTGGTTCATTCAATCATTGTTGAAGCAAACAGGCAGTAATCAGCCACATGCTAAACACAAGTGTCCAGTTTGATGTAGAATACTGTGTTCACACTGGGAACAGAAGAGATTATCTGCTTTCACCAAATGAAACCAAAATTCTCATGTTTGTGTTTTCAGACGTCCACCGCTACAGTGAAGATCGTGGTCACCGACGTCAACGACAACGACCCGCTGTTCGACCTGTCTCTGCCCGTCAACCTCACCGTCATCGAGGAGCAGGACTCAGCCTACGTCGGACAAGTTAAGGTCGGTTTGTCCGGGCTTTTTATCCAAACAGACCTGTGAGGGTGCGACCGTAGATGGGCCGGGAAATCAACAGCTTTACCTTTGGACTCTCTTACCCCGGGGCATTTTCTCCTCAGGGCAAGATTTGGATATTGGATTTTGTGGAGAGACAGACTCGTTTTCATGTGGTTACCGTTTCATTTAGATTCGGAACAACATTTGAGCGTGAGCTACTTCAGTTAAAATGTAACAACGTTATCTTTAAGAAAATTGTTTGGCCTCCTCTTGAGAATCTGCGACCATATTTTAGCTTCAACCTTTGACAATACAAGAGGTACTTTGAGGAAAATTATATCATTCTATTTTTTTTAGCGCTCATGAAGTTGAAAGCCTTAGGTATTGATTCCCATTCATGTTAGTAGGGGGAGACGGTATGACGTTTGTGGATGGGGAAAGGTCAGAGGGCCACGAGAATACTATTGGTCTGCTAATGTTTCAGGATTTATTTTACTGCTTGCGCGGACAATAACGTTTTTTTGAGTTGGGATGAGTTGAGTTGAGCCTAACCCCATCGCTCTCTCTCCCTTGTACTTGTGTAAGACCCCTTTAACAGATGGCCATTCCAAACCATTACGGCGACAGAGGAGAATTTGCTAATGATTAGTGTCAAAACAATGAAAACACAATGATGACTAAACGATATAATTGATTAACCTCAGCAACAAGACGGTGAGAACAGTTCGCCAACATATATTTTCCTTCCAAACAATAAAATATCAAATTCATTGCCGAAATAACTTCAATGATTATAATTAAGAAGTGATTAAGGGAGAATAAACTTCCGCTGACTATAATTTCCACAAACTTTTCTGCAATAACAAATGGCCAAACTTAGGTAAACAGACGGCTTACTCCATCTAACAATTAGGAAGGTGCGTGACAATACACCGCCTTGTATTCCGTACGCTTCTCTCATGCTAATCCTGCTTCACTATGCAGAGGCATAAACTGCAGACAATCTAAGATTATGATTTATTTGCGAGTATCAATAACTCCTTGCGGCATCTGCGTCGCCGTGGGATCCCTGAGAAAACTGCATGTCACAGCTCCTGTCGTCTCTTGGGGTTTTTACGCGGAAAGTCAGCACATTTTTCCAACCCCTCCCAGGTTTAAACACCATTTTCATCATTTCAGACACATTTTGTTGAAAAAGTACTGTCCTTTTGTTAACGTACCTACATAATGCTGCGCTGTGTCTTGGAGTTTCCCACCCTCTAATTAAAAGCAGCCATTATAACCTTTCACAATGGGGGACAGGGATTTCTCATCAGAGCTGTCAGACGAGCACACACTAGTAATTACAAGCGTACATCATAAAACACAACAGTCTATGCAAATTGGCAGGTGAATTATATTTGGAGTCAGTCAATTCTGCTTTTGTCATTTACAATTTCTATTAACTCCAAGCGGTTCAATCAGTCTTTTCTCTTTCGTTTTATCTATTTTTAACTATAGAATCAAAAGCAACAATCTTTGCTATTTTTGTCGTCACTTAAAAGCAGGATTTACAGGAGTTCACACTATTTCCTTGGCATCTGAGCGAAAAGTAATTAAATATGTCTGTGTGCGTATCTTAACTTAAGTTGTATAAGTAGTCATTTAACTCTTGTGATATCCTCGAGTGGAACTGACCCACCTCAGAGCTGAAATTTAATTTTTTTTTAGACCAGGGGTGTCCAAACGTTATACTAAGAGGGAGCTTTAGTTCGCCAGACTTGTCCAGGGGCCGACAACACGGATTGTAAAACTTTTTGGACTAGAATTGGCCTATTGTGAGATGCATCATGAGGTATAATGATCATTTAAACCTATACACGTGAGAGCTGAGGTTAGCTGAATGACGTACTTCAGTGCCATAGACAAACACAATGAAAAACAACTATCAGTGCATACAAATAAATGAATTCAAAAGGTTTAGAGCTTTACAATGAGGTATACCATGCCTTTATTGGAGAAGTGGAAGTTGGCTGGATGACACCATGAACTTGTGTTTTTAACCTCACTGATATTTTGGGTAAGTAAAGCCTGGTTCACACGGCAGGATAATTAGGCCGATTTTGGACCAGATTTACCCCTGCGACAATTTAAAGCTGCACTAACTGACTTTGGGATTTTGAAGCCGCGGACTCGCTGGCCTCGCTCTTTCTGCTCCCCTCCCCGCACCCACGAAGCTATCGCCCCCCACACACACCCACTGTTGTTGACGAAGCTAGCGTCTTCCAATATGGATAAACCGTGGATATGGATTTGCACGTGGATGCCGTGACCATAGAACGATAGAACCGGGAAGCGCGGAGGAACGAGACTTTCTTTTGGATGGCTGTTTCGCTGTGTAAGCAGTAACCGGTGACGAAGACACACGAAGCTTCAGGTTAGCTCCTCCACTTGTTGTGCTAACTCAGCTGTCTGTGCTAACGGACCTGTAGATTTCTTACGAAAGTGGGGGCTAGTGGTCCTTGTTTCATCAAAACTCAATCTAAAATATTATGTTACGCCAGTACAAATCTGCGCTACTTTTTCTTCAAAAGGACGTATATCCCAATGCACTGCATGGACATGGATAGCATTTTCGTAATGAATACAAAAATAAAGTCAGTTAGTGCAGCTTTAAGAGCGCTCCGATTATTGTAATGAAAATCTGATGGATTAGCAAGTATAGTCCATGCTCACGTTGTCTCCACTTCTTTGACCATCGCCTTTTCTTTTGATTACGCCTTTTCTCTGCCAAGAACAAACTGGAAACTTCGTCCGCCGTGATTGTTTACTCCGAAGTCACGCTTGATCTCGCGAGATTTTGTGAGATTTCCGTTTGACTTGGGAAAGCACATTTTAAAATCGTCTCGTGTGAACCAGGCTTAACCCTTTAAGCGCCAGAGGTTTTTTTCCAAAACGCTCAATTTTGACATTTTAATTTCAAAAGGCTATAACTTAAAAGTGATAAGAGATAAAGGCTTTCTGTAAATTAGAAAAATATAAAGGATGGTCCAAAGTTTATGTAGAGAATAAATCCCCCCATATTATTTGCATATTATGACGTCATTTGGCGTTAGAAATAGTGGATTTTAGATTTTTCATACAATATTTGTATTTTTCTAACTGACAGACATATATTTATCACTAGAACATGAACACACACAGAGCTCACACTGTAACATTGTAAATGTTCATGAAAATAGTAAAAAATATATAAATCATGGTGCTGCTGTGAGCAGTCTGCCCAGACGCGCGCCTCCACGTAATGCGCGTCACCGCGACCCTGCTGCTGCAGATGTCTCCCCCACTCTCTCTCTCATCTCCCCTGCTCTCTCTCGTCTGACACACACAAGACAAGGCTTCTACAACACATTACTGTCCCGGTGATTACGTGAGGCTTGAAAATAAATATGTGGGAAGCACTTTTAGCGGAGACTTTGGCGGAAACTTCAGCAAAGGCTAGAGGTCGCGGCGCCCCGACCCGAGTTCCAGGCTTGTTTTCCGCAAATCTAACCTGTCTCCGAACCTCCCAATGACTGGCCTTACTCTAAGAAACACTGTTCCCACTGCAGACCCTGTGCAAAGTGTCTAAAGTTAGTGTTTGGTGCGGTACAACACTCGCAGGCTGCCCCGCAGCTGCATTCGCTTTGCTATGATTTCCGCACTGGTTCAACGCGGTCTTGCTCGAATATTTTGTATGGGAGCATGACGTTTTTTGGGGCCAGGGAGGTAGTCTGACATGTCTGCCAACTAGTGGCAGGGAGTATGAATGAATTTTGACACTCAGTTGGTCACACTCGGCAGTTTTTAACAGTACCGCAGCTTGTCGACTTAAGTCGACCGTGGCGCCTAGAGGGTTAAGGCATAGGGCCAAATAAAATGACACAGAGGTCCGCAGATTGGCCCTCGAGCCTTTGTTTGAACATGCCTGCTTTAGACCCTAATTAAGGGTATTTTTCTTCTACTTTTAATCATCTGTGGGTAGCACAAGGGTAAACAAGCTGTACATACATTTACATTTTTCACATGGTTGAGACGTGTAAGTTGCCAAAGAAAACTGTGAATCTGTGTCTCATATTGTTTTGACCCAGAATTGGCCACATTGATATTAGACATATTGTCAAGGGATGGGCTGAGTTTGTCATGTTTGCACAAAGAAGAAACAGACATGGAGGATACATCAACACTGTGCACCATGCTCAGCAGCAGCAGCAGCAGCAGCAGCAGCAGGCCTCCTCACCTGGCCTCCCTCTCCCTGCATCCCACAGACCATTGGCCCCGTGCCAAAGCTAATAACTGTCTGCAGCACACCCTTCCCCAGTCAGGGGTCATGGCTAAATATGACACTTTGATAGGTTGTGATCTTTGGAGACGCTCCGTGCCTTTGGTTCATTTCTGGATTTGTTCCAGGTTTAATTCCTTGCCTTTACTCACCCGTGTCAGGGCTCTTTGATCACTGCGCCACAATGTCATCCACTAAATGTTAATTATGCCTCCTGCACAAACTCTGGGATTGCTTTTATCGTAAATACACGAGACCTATGTGCGCCGCTATATCTTCAGTCTGCTCCTGCGTGTCCCAGTTTTATTTAAGGCTGTGGGCATTTTTCCAGGTTGTTTCTAAGCTAAATTAAATTCAACCAGTCAATTGTAGTGGTGGGTCACAATACGTTACAACAAATTCTATGGGGCAAGTACACTTCAAAGCGAAGTAGCCTCATCACTGTAAAAGTAGCAGTTCAGACCGGCAGTTATTTCCCTGTGAAAGAAACGGCTTTGCCCATGTGTTGTAGCGATTAGTTGGCGAGGTTTAGGCCATAGAAGAAGTGAGTGGACTAACTGAGTGCTGACATCACTCATAGAAGAAGAAGAGGTTTTAAGAGTGGGAATCCGGAGCTGAATGAGGAGCAGAGCAGCAAAAGAGCCAATCAGGATTAGCCCCAGTCTGTTTCCGCTTGCATTACTTTTCAGCCACATTTGAGTACATA